CAAAGCTAATACATTAAACTGGGCATAAAACTATTATCGAACTACTGATTTTATTTGATTTCACCAGTTTTTCTATTTTTTATTGGCTTATTTTTACTTTTAATTGGGCATAGTTTTAAAAAATAAATATCGCAAGCACAAGGTCTTGAGTTTGATCCCTGTTCCCCCCCAGTAAATAGGGTATAACTGACAAATAAAATTATATATATAAGGTGTCCAACATGTTTTGAGATACATATATAATGTGAAATGATTACTACAATCAAGCAAATTAATGTATCCATCACCTCACATACCTTTTTTTTTTCTTTTGAGACAGGGTTCAGACTGGCTTGAATTCACTATGTAGCCCAAGATGGCCTTGAATTCACGCTGATCCTCCTGCTTCAGCCTCCCAAGTATTGAGATTACAGGCATGTGGTACCATGCTCACCCCTCACATACTTACAGAATTCTTAATATCCTCTACTTAGAAACATCTTAAAATTCCACTAGTAAAAAATAATCTTAAAAAGAAAAATGTGCTCAGCATCTTACTCCTATGTACAGATTAAAACAGTTAAATGAATACCATTTTAGATATTTTCTTGATATCCGTATACATGGATACATTTTGAAAATAAAAAATTGTCTTGGGGGGCCGGGGATTTAGCTCAGAGGTTCCGCCACCTGCCTCGCAAGTGGAAGGTCCCGAGTTTGATTCCTGGTACCTCCCCCCCAAAAATTGTCTTGGAATGGGCCTGGGATTTAGCTCAGTGGCAACATGCCTACCTTGCAAGTGCAAGGTCCTGAGTTCAATCCCCAGTACCACAAAAAAAAAAAAAAATTGTCTTGTGACCTGCTATTTCACTTAATAGAGTGTAGCGGACACTTTTTCACCACAATAAATTCACATCAACATCATGATCTCTTAAAGATCCCCCCCATTTTCCACTCACCCTTATTTATATCCCTTTCTCTTGTCTAATAATAGCCTCCCTTCTACTTTCATATAGTCTTTTCTGAATTCCACATATTATGAAATGTGGTATTTGTCTTTCAGCCTGGCTTACCTTTGCTTTTTAAACTGTTCACTGTTTTTACGTATAGCCTGCAGATGATTTCAGGACATTCTAAACAGTGACTAGCCAGATTAAGATAACAACAAAAAGCCTAGTGGGTGTTGATAAGAAAGCTGTACCCTCTCCCCAGGCGCATTCTGCTGGTTGCCGGAGGACCTGGGGTAGCAGCCATTTAGAGGTGGCAAAGCTGTGGAGGCCCTGTGCAGTGGCCAGGAGCTCTGCTTTCCCCTAAAGGCCCTTCTAGAAACTTCTCTCCAGAACAAGAAAGCCATGGCTTCATGGTCAGTAGCTATCTAGCAAAAAGCTGTCTCCTCTTCTGAACCCATGAGGGAAAATGCACTGATTTGGTGCTGCCTGTGGCTTCATTGCAAGTCTTAGAGCTATGGCAGTACAGCAGACGTGTCACTGGTTTGTGTCAACTTACACCTCATTTGAAAGTCTCTTGACTGTGTGCACTGAGATCTAGTTTATTTTAAAGTAGTGCTAGGGATTGAAACTAGAGCCTTGTGCTTGCTACACAAGTACTCCACCACTGAGCTGCCTCCTCAGCGCCATTGAGATGTAGAAATTTAAGATTTGCAAAAACTGTAGACAGCTTTGCTAAGTGAAACATTTTAACATTTAGTAACTGTTTTTTGCCCTATCTATGGCTTTCCTGTGCTCTAAGCATTGTGACAAATTAACAGTGGAATTTAGCTGCTTCCTGTTGGTTATCATTCTTTGACTCCTTGCGATTCAAGAGACAAAACCTATATTCCCTGAGTAATCTACAGCTCCTCACCAGACTTCTTTTGCATTGTAATTTTGGGTGCAAGGCCCTGAGTTTGATCTCTACAAAAACCAAAACAAAATACAACCCATAAAATATGTGTGCTTCAGGGCCGGGGATTTAGCTCAGTGGTTTTGCCACCTGCTGCGCAAGCACAAGGACCCAAGTTCGATCGCCAGTACCAAAAAAAAGAAAAAAAAAGAAGTATGTGTGGTTTGAAATTACAAGCATATTAGCAAGATAAGGTCATTTTAACTGGGGAAAACCAGCTTCTTCTTACCGAGGGTTTGTGGTATAGTATAAGATGACCTAATAGGGCCAGGGAGTTAGCTCAGTGGTTCCGCCATCTGCCTCAAAAGTGCAAGGTCCTGAGTTTGATCCCTGGTGCCAAAAAAAAAAAATAAAGACCTAATATCAGGGACCTGTATGGTTGACTGTAATTACTAATGCTGTAAGACCTGATCTTGCATTTTACCCTGCCTACTTGGGATTTCAAATATAAACAAAAGGGCAACTGGAATGATTGCTATAGGCCATACTTAAATTAACATTTAATCATTTAAAAAGCTTACTAGTGGGCCGGAGATGTAACTCAGTGGCTTGATTCCTGCCTGCCAGGCACAAGGCCCTGAGTTCGATTCCCAGTACCAAAAAAAAATTTAAAGCCTTACTAGAGAATTTAGAATATAAATTATGTCTCTTCAGTAACTAGTTTCTGTAGTAGGGTAAAACTAAGTTCAGAACAATCCTGAGAGTATGTATCATGATGTCTATATTAACACAGCTCATTAGAAATCTTCAGAAATGTACCATTTGTTGGAGGTGGGGAGTAGCTTGATGGTAAGGCATGTACTTAGCATGTGAAAGTTTCTGAGTTCCATCACCAGCACCCCTCAAGAAAAGCCATATTTGGGGCCAGGGATTTAGCTCAGTGGTTCCAGCGCCTGCCTCACAAGCGCAAGGATCCGAGTTTGATCCCCGGTACCAAAAAGAAAAAAAAAGAAAGAAAAGCCATATTTGTTGATTGCTCAATGTAATATGCCAAACTTTGAGGCAAGGATGCACAGTGAAGGAGCCACATTTAAGATAGGGAAGTTTGCATTTTAATTCCAAGGTAGCATGATAATGAGTTGTCTATTTCATCATGAGTCCTTCATCACTTTGAAAGCAGATCTTTGATAGAAGTCTCTTTAGGTTTGGTGAAAATACACTCTTTTTTTAATTTCTAGAAATGATGAAAATTCCATTCTGGCTTTTGGGGAGAGTATTACAGTCCAGCTGTAGCACAACAAGTGAGAAAGGGTAATAGCTTCACTTGGTTGGTTGGAATTTGCCAGCACAAATGATTACTCTGTGTAAGAAGAGGTAAAAGAAAAAATAATCAAGTGCTGTCCTTGTACTCTTACCTGAAGGTGACCTTTGGTGTGCTTAATGGGCTGGTAGGCATGGCCCTGTCCCAGATAGCGCTCCATAGTAAGAGCCATGGATGTTGGAAATGGAATGGAGAATCTGATTTTCTGACCTCATCATCCTCCCCATACCACCATCTTTCTTTCCAGCTTAGTATAAATCTTATTTCAAGCTCCATAATGCAAAGTGTTAGGCTCTCAGCAGACTATAGGAATTACGTCTTTTATGCTGAGTGATTAATTATAATACTGCTGTCATAATGTCAATATGAATTTGTCTCATCTTTTCTGAAACATAATTGAATACGCTTAGGCTCAGACCAGTCTTAAGAGTTCACTATTCATTTCTCAAGCAGTGTGTAAGCAGTTTCTAACATACATACCCACCCATTGGTTTTGGTCTTTTTCTTCTAAGCTTGTGTTCTAGTATTCTTTAATTTTCTGTTGTTGTTGTTGTTGTTTAATTTCTCGTACAGAGAAAATGTACTGCTGGAGGTGTACCTCAGTGGTAGAATGGTTGCCTAGCATGCACGAGGTCCTGCGTTCCATTCCCAATACTGGAAGGAAGGAAGGGAAGGTGGGAGGGAAGGAGAGAAGAAGAAAATATAAAACTTTTTTAGAAAAATTGTTTATGCTATTACTTTAAAAGCTTCTTAGATTAGGATAATCTGGCCATTTTATTCTGTGTGTGGCTGCTGGTCAGCTCTCACAAGGCCTCAGCAAGTAATTGGAGCTTGCTGAGCATGTGCCTGTACTCAGTTGGTGTTGTCAGGCACAAATGAAGTTAGCAGCTGCAATTATTAGGGATTCCTCTAATCCCAAACCTTCAAACCTGACCAATGTTTTCTGTTTTTGAGTCTGTTTTCTGTTTATTCTTACCTGCTTAGTTTGTTCCTGATCTTAGAATTGTCTTAATTTTCAAAAGCTTTACTTTTCCCAACAAGTACAACTGTCTTTAAAACAGTATCCATAATATAAGTGAACTTAGCCAACAGTCATTTTTTTTAAAAAAAGATAAAATTTAGAAAATGTTTACTTTAAAGAAATAAATTATAATCCAGTGGTGCCATTTTGTTTTTCAAATGGAACTTGAGTCCCTCTAGTGGGTAGGGTATAATTCACCTTCCAAGCTTGAGATGGAATGGCTAATAACAGTCTGGATTTTCATAGCACCTGCTTTCAAATCCAGTGTTCTCATTAGTATTGGTGTTCTCTGGGGACTCACTCAGCCAAGGTTCAACAGTTCTCCTCTTCCACCCGTGTGATGTCAGTGCCACTGGTCATTCCTAGCATGTGATTTCACAAGCTGTGGCTCACTGGCTGCTTTTTCAGCAAGTATAAACCCAAACTAAAAGTTGGTGATTTTATACCATTCAGAGCATTGTACCCCCATGGTCTTTGAGTTACCATGAACTAGATAATTATACAGGCCTGCTTTAGGCACAGCAGTCAAGTAAGGACATTCAGCAGTCAGAGGAGTCTGGTACTGATAGCTGCGATAGAGGCAGGGTGGTACATTTGGAAAGAACTTGGGTTTCAGGTTCTAATCCCAACCCTGCTGTTATTAGCTGCGTGACCTTGAGGTGTGTAGCTAGGTTTTAAGTTCTGGAAATAACACATGCAAATGTCTTTGTGTTTTTAGTATTTTGTGGTTGGTAGCAGAAGTTGTGAAAATGTCCCTGGTTGAGTCTATTATAATGCATGGGATTTTATTATTTAGATAACTTCTTTTTTTTCTCCATGACTTCTTTTTTCTTTCAGTCACCACCAAGTAAGCGAAGAAAATTAGAGAAGCCAAGGAAACCCATTACGTTTGTAGTGCTGGAGTCTGTGATGAAAGAATTATCCCTCAAAGCATCATCTTTGGGCTCTGAGACAGTGGAAGGCATAGTGGTTGTGACGACATGGATAGAAAAAATTCTCACTGATTTGAAGGTACCTGGTGAAGCACATTGATGAAGTATTCATCTTTTCTTTTTCTCTTTTTTTCTCTTATCCCCCCCCCCCTTTTAAAGGGCATTTGGTAAAAAAGGAAAAATGATTTCCTATAAAACTCTTTTTCTTCTGCATAGGTCCAGCATAAACGAGTTCCCTGTGGAAAAGAGGAAGTTAGCCTTTTCCTGACAGCCATAGAAAACTCCTGGATTCATTTAAGGAGAAAGAAAAGAGAACGAGTGAGACAGCTGAGGGAAGTGCCTCGAGCTCCTGAGGACGTCATCCAGGCCTTGGAGGAGAAAAAGGCCACCCCTAAAGAGTCGGGCAGTAGCCAGGATGTGGCCCTGGCCCCCCAGGAGAGTGCCCTGTGTGTGGCTGCCATGCAGGAAGATGAGTTTGCCACTGTTGGTGGCCACTGCCCAAGCCAGGAGTCATTGTCCCAGGAGGAAACCCCAGGACCCCTGGAGAATGAAAGGAGTGAGGAAAGGGGAGGGACAGAGGCCATAGAAAGTTGTAAGGGCTCTAGCAATGGAGCCCAGGATCAAGAGGCTTTTGAGCAGTTCAGCAGCCCTGTGGCTGACAAAGGGAAGCACCTCCAAGGAGAGGGTGCACAGTACCTATTCAAGTGTTTGATAAATGTCAAGAAGGAAGTGGATGATGCCTTAGTTGAAATGCATTGGGTTGAGGGCCAGAACAGGGATTTAATGAACCAGCTTTGTACCTATATACGTAACCAAATTTTCAGGCTTGTTGCTAGTTAACGTCAAAATTCTTGTATAGTTCAGTGTGTGTATGGGGCTGGGTGTAGGTAGCTGAGTGCTAAAGTGTGTGCTTAGTGTGCAGGAAGCCGTGGGTTCAATTCCCACCACCCTCCAAAAAACACATTAACAGCTTGCTTTGGAGTAACCTTTGGGTGGCAAGAAAAATTTCTTCACTGGCCCAGAAGTGACATTGTGTGGAATTATCTTAAAAAGTAGAAATCAATCCATTTAAACCATCCCCCCACTGCTGCCCTTTTGTTTTGTTTTGTTTTTTTGTTACAGGGAGTTATTGTATGGTAGTTCAGGAAGAATTGCTCATCAGCAACAACAGAAAGCTGTCAGTGAATTCAGGAAAAATTTAAAGCTGAACCATGCTGGTCATCATAGCTTTAGACTAATTCTGTGAGGCCAGAGGGATATAACATATCTGGTCTGGGTCAGTGCTGTCCAGAGCATTCTGGTCTCTGTCCCCAAGGGTTGGCTTGTGAGAGGTGGTAGCACTCTTGTCCTCCAGCACAGGCAGTACAGCAGGGCAGGCAGAGGTCCACTTTGAGTCATCCTTAAGGCAGAACCTGCTCAGCCTGGGCACATATGATTGATTAACTGTGCTCAAGTCCCCAGAAAGGAGCTGGCCCCATGGTAGGCAGTGAGAGGTCGGGGAGAAAAACCTTAGGAAGCCCCATCTGAGGACCTCTGGGGTACCGAATATTCCTGGTTTGTGGCTGTTTTGATATTGCTTATTTCAGAAGCAGAATTAGGTGAGCAAAACTCCAAGATATGACTGAGATACAACAGAACACACCCATACCCTCATCTCTAATTCATCAAAAGTACTAGTATTTTATAGCAGTTTTACTTCTGTGTTTTTGTTTCAACATGTGAAGTAGAGCTTGTTTTCTTTTTAATATAAGAATTTTCAGAGATGAAATCTGTCAATCCTGTTTGAATCCTGGGGTTGGGGAAAACATTTTCTTGGCAGTGAGTGGTTAGGTGGTTAATGATAGAAATCAGAAAGGGAACAGGGCACTTTGTGGAGTAGATAACTTAAATTCTTGCCTAGAGCCGGGCTTCATGGCACACACTTGTAATACCAGCACTTGATAGTCTGAGGCAAGAAGATCACTATGAGTTGGAGGCCAGCCTGTACTACAAAGTGAATTCGAGGCAAGCCTGGACTAAATAGTGAGACCCTGTGTCAAAAAACAAACAAATAACAACAACAAAAAAGAAAGCCTTGCCTTTTGGCAGGTAATTTGTGCCTGGTCAAATGCTGCTTTTTGTGGCTTCCCTTTTACTCTCTTGTATGCTTACCTTCTAACACTGGAGAATCCTGAGGCCAGTGTAACCATTTCTTCAAAACAGGTCTCTAATTGAAGTGCCAGGATGCAGCAGATATCTCTGGAAACAGCTCTCAGTCTTTGTTCTACTGGTGTCTCAGTAACTGTCTGCTGTCCTTGACTTTCACAGTTTGATTTTGTACCAGCAGCCTAGAGTTCTCTTTAGACTAAATCTTTGAGTCTAGTGCCAAAGCTCTTTACCATGTGTCGAGAAGCGTGGGGTTGAGTAGTTAAGCTGCCCTTTTTCGAGGTGGCTGTTGGTTAGGGCAGAAAACTGATGATTGTGGCATATCTTGGTGGCAGCTGTATGAGACCTTTCATACAGATACAAAGAATGAAAATAGTTTGCCTTCCTGTGGTAGTGGAGCTGGAGCTGGGGAAGAGCCTTTGAACCAGTGTTTGTTTTCTTTTTTTGGTACTGGGGATCGAACTCAGGTCCTTGTGCTTGCGACGCAGGTGGCACAACCACTGAGCTAAATCCCTGGCCCAGAACCAGTGTTCTTAACCTGGTCACGAACCTCCAGAGAATCCATAAGCCTCCTGGAATTCTTTCTAAAAGTTTGGTGAACATGTGTGTTTTGTTTTTGCTTTTCCCCTAAGAAGCGTCTGTGACATAGACATAAGGTTCAGTAATCCACTAAGGATAAAGAACCACCATTCTGATCCAGCCATTTATTTTAACAGGATGAGAAAACCAGTGCCCAGGCTCACATAGAACCAGGATCTCTTCCAGGGCCTTGTGTTACCCCTGTCCAGTATTTCTTTTGCTGTACTGGCCCATGACCTCCCGTTGTATTTACTGTTGATGTGTATCACAGCTGAGTAGTGTGCTGGGCCCAGTCCTAGTCTTCTTGATGGAATTTTAGGATCATTGCAAAATGAAAGCCAAAAAATGACAACAAAATCACCTCTAGCTAGTCTCAGCCTTCTCTAACACTCAGTCGCTATCAGTATTTGTGTTTTCTTCCAGTCTGTCTATAACGGGATGTGAGGCTGTGGGCTTGTCTTTGATTGTACTTGTGCTGTACAGTCAGTATATTGCACTGTATACTGTGCATTTTTTCATTTAACGTCTCTTACGTATTCTCTGTTATGACAGTATTTATACTCTGCCTGTTCAAAATGTCTTTCAGGCACAGTATTTGGCTTTGTTCAAGTCTAGTTCGTAGAGAATACTCTGTATCTGGAGACAGAAAGGGTGTGCCTGAGTCTGTTGTTTCAGTCCTAGGTTTATGTTTTGGTGTCATGGAGTTTTTGTAGGTGTTGAGATAATAATCCTAGAATTTTTTTTAAATTATGTAACAAGGATGGTATCTGGACTTTGAAAGACTAGAGCTTTGAGTGCCTTCTTTGCCTTTCCTTCTCTGAGAAGAATTATTTCTAAAATTATGTCACGAGAGAACATGGAAAACATTATAAAAGGACGTCTAACATTGTTTTGGTTATGCATATTCCTTATAATCATACGGCGTGTAATAGCATACACTTCTGGTACAGGGAAATGAACTTTTTCTCCAAAGAAATAGGTTACTGACCCACGTGTCACAGTATTGCGTGACACTCCCTAAGGGTCTGGAGGTCAAATTCATGTTGGTGGATTGTTATGAAATCAATTCTTTGTGGTATTATCTTAAATTCTATTCTGGTCTTTGGAATTGGCTTCTGATCTCTTGATAGCTAAAATGGGGACAGAAGCTGAGCTTGTTTTCTGAAGTGAACTAAAGCTCCTTTGTTCTTTGGACTGTGCTCTGGTTCCATCAGTTTGATTTCTTCACCCGAATCCTTGCCCAGCTGTTCCCACCCTAGAGCTTTGCCTCACATCCTGCCAGCGTTGGCAGTTCTGTGGTGGAGACTCAGTTAATTTTGGTCAGTATCTTTTTTTGCGGTACCAGGGATTGAACTCAGGACCTCGTGCTTGTGAGGCAGGCGCAGTGCCACTGAGCTAAATCCCCAGCCCTGAGATTCAGTAATTTTAAAGGTTTGTGTTGATTAGTATATTTTTAAAAAACATAAAAACCCTTTTTACTTAACAGAAATCAAAGCTTACTCCATGAGCACACCACCACCTTCTAAGCTCTTGCAGGAATAATAATACCACAAGGTGTTGAAAAGATACAAAGCCTGTGGAAAGTCTGAGGCCTTTTAAAAGAAGGGTGTTAGTGGATTCTCCAGTATTTCCCTCTATAGCCACATGGGGGCACTTTCAGCCCTAGTATCAGCGCCTTAACTTCAGAGTGGGAATTGATAAAATTGTGGCCATAGTATTTTCTTGAAAGATCCAGTTGTTACACAGATAAATATTTTCATATAAATAAGTACATTTTTCTATAAAAAGTCTGAAAAATAAATGTAGAAAGAAAAACACTATCTATGAACTTTTTATCAAAAATACTCCCTTTCAGCCGGGGATTTAGCTCAGTGATTCCACTGCCTGCCTCACAAGCAAAAGGTCCCGAGTTCGATCTCTGGTACCAAAAATAAAAAAAATCCCTTTCTAACTTTTAATATTGTTTTATAGTCTCAGTTGAATATTTTTTCTTGTCTATTTGTCTTCATACTCTAGAATACATTTAGTTTGGTCCTAGTTGTTTTGGGATCAGCTTTTTAAAATTATCTAGTTAATGGGGATACTGGAGGGTTACTGTTTAGTGATTTTAAAACAGTAACTTCTCAAAAGCTTCATGTTCCAGGATAGGTAACAGAGAGCTCCAAGAAAGAAAAGATTTTCAGTGTTCTTTTTGTTGACTCTTGTTTTGAATTTAGCTGATTGGCTAATGAATGTGCATGTAATGTGTTGTTTTTTTAAAAAATCAAGCCGAGTGTGGTGGTTCACTCCTGTAATCTCAGCACTCAGGAGGCTGAGGCAGGAGGATTGCTATGAGGTCAAGGCCAGCTTGAAATGCGCAATGAGACCCTGTCAAAAAGAAAAAAAATCGAACTGGGCATGATGACACATGCCTATAATCCCAGTACTCAGGAGGCTGAGGTAGGAGGATTGCTGCAAATTGAAGGCAGTCTGGACAACAAAGTGAGACTGTGTCAAGCGCTACCACCCCCCCACCCCCCCACCCCCCGATCAAAGTTGGTGGGGATCCTGTGTTACATGGGTTAGCTGGGTCTCATTTCTTACAAGGGGTGTTTCTATGTAGAACATGAGCAGTACTAACCCTGGGATTTATATGGGCTCAAAAAGTTCCATCTGTCTATTTTAGTGGCACTGGATCAAGTGTTGTCAGTGATCTCACCCAACAGAATTGCCTGTTAGGAGGAAGGAGGTCCAGGAAGGAAGGCCTCAAAGGTAGAGGTAACCAGAGGGAAAGGGCTGAGGCCAAGTTGCTTTTTTAGGGAAGTAGGTGCCCTGGAGATTGAGTTTGCTGAATGGACTGTAACCTTAGTAAAATCCTGTTCTGTTCATTAATAGGATGAATTGGCTTTTGCCTCCCTGAGCGAGGAATTGATGGTTTTGAACCTTACTGATTATCCCAGATCCATGCCCTGTGTGAACATCAGCGCTATATTAGAGAGCCCTGCCTGGGGCTTAAGCTGCTCACAGCAGAGAATCACACACACCCAAGAGTCCTTGCTGTCCTTGCTGAAGACGTTTGGATCCTCTGCTCTGACTCCCCAAATGACTAAAACAGCAGTTTATTTGTTTAATTGCTGGTTGGAGCTGCTAATGGCTCCTTTTGGAGGCTGTGCTTTTATTGTGGAAAACTGTGTTGTGACTGAGTGGAGACTTTGCCCCTCCAAATGCCCTTCAAGGTGTAGCCACCCTCACTCCCAGCAGAAACATCCTTGTTCCCAAGGAAGTGGAGGATCATGGCTGTGCCTCAGGAACCAGGGATCGGAGCCAGAGAAGGTGTGGAGTTGGCCAGGATTGGCTTGGATGTGATGCTCTGAAGAAGCCAAAGGATGTAGAAATCCAGGGTACTTTTCCAGCCACCCTAGGGGAGCCAAATTGAGAGAGAGCTTGCAGTTCATCGCCCTAGGTCATGTTGCATTTCCACTCCTTATAGAAGGTACAGCAGTCTGACTAAACTATGAAGCTGAGGTTTTTCTCTCAGAGTGAGAGCAAGTCTTCAGTGAGAGAAGGACTCCGCACCTTGGGAAGTACGTAAGCAGAATGGACCTTGAAGCTTGCTTGTGTCCTTATCCTGCTTGGAGTTTTTGATTTCTAGTTAGGAAATCTACCAGTGGGTTAGGAAATCTAATTTGAATGAAAAGGCCAAGACCGCAAATAAATAATTGCAGGTGTAGAGTTTTGTCTGTTTAAAAACAAACCTGGGCTTCCTTGTTAGCAGGGACCTGATCATTGATTGGCTACCTTCAACACAGATTGACTTATTAAGGTGGTGTGTCATCCCTGTGTTGCAGCTGAGGAAAGCTCAGAGCTGGGTGTGGTGGTGCATGCCTGTAATCCCAGCACTTGGGAGGTTAAGGCAGGATTGTTGAGAGTTCAAGACCACCCTGGGCCACACAGTGAATTTGAGGCCAGACTAGACTACATAATGAGAGTCTCTCTTTATTCCTGTCTAAAAAGAAAGCTCAGAGTTTAAGTTACTCGCCTTAAGTTTCTTCACAGAGTGAAGACAGCGATGGGATTTCTCCAGTTCAAGAATCCAAGACTAGGATATTTTGCTAAGTCTTAGAATTTTGGGACAAAAGTGCTGCACTTAAAATGGGAATGTACTTTCAGTCTCATTTGACCTACCTCTGTGGAATTATCTAACATGGGGAAGATAGAAAAAAGTACATTTTACCCAACTTCACAGTTTAGCGCTTTAAGGTAAGGTCATTTTCCAGCCTGTGATCAATGAGTGACATTTAGTAAGTAAAATTACTTATAATTAGTTCTTAATTTATGCTACCAAATCTTCACAGAATCTTTTATTTGGCAAACGTGCAGATAATTAAGTAGTTAATGAAACCACAAAATAAAATGTCTAGTGAAAGCACATGTTGGACCACAATCAATGTGAAATAACTGATAATTATGTAATGACTCTTTGACAATACATAATTGTATAATAATGAAAGGGAGGCTTAGTTCTTTTTTTTTTTTTTTTTAACGCAACTCCAAATATTTCACATACAGAACACCACAAAACTGATACGCTTTGTGAGCTTGCCGGAGAAGGTAACATTGTTAGAAAAATCAGCAAATCTTTTCCCAGGTAGTGCGTGTGAAGCAGTGGAAGTCTGGGAAAAGCAAAAGCTGCTTGCCATCTGGCAGACCCTCTTCAGGGAGTGTGGCCCAGTAGTCTGGAGGGAGAGCCAGGAAACTCCCAGCTGGGGGACTTGGCTCACTGCAACAGCCTGCCAGCCCCCAGGGAAATGGCATCTTGTACTGCCACTGTGGTATCCAAAAAGGATGCTGTCTACAGAGCTGGGCTGAGCAAGACCCCATGGGACCCAGAGATTTGCCAGTGGGAGACTCAGTGTCTCTTGTCGGAGAGGGAGAGCTGTAGTCTGACCGTACCTGGGATCCTTCTTCAGGCATGTGCCAGAATGCCTGCCCTTGGGCCAAATGGGCGTATGTTGTGGGGCTTTAGGGACCAAACTGACTGACACTTCGATGATCCCTGGACCAGCAAAAAGGACTTTTTCATGCACAAAGAGAAATAGCTCCTCATTTGTTCTAGGAGCTAGGCAAGAAGGAGAGGAGTTTGCATCCTCACAAAAAGGAAGTAGTTATTATTCAATTTCTGGTAGTTACTGCCGTGCTAAAATATGTGCTGTGTTGTTGGATCTTCTGATTTTTTGAAGAAAGCCCAAAGTCCAGATTTATGGGAAATGTACTTAACTAAATCTTGACAATGAAATCACTGTTTAAAAAGAAAAAGTAAATTATCAGTCTGTGGCTTTTTCTACCACTGGGTAGGTTGAACTGCCTCCACCATTTCTAACTCTCTTTCACTTCAGCCTCTGATGCTTTTTTTTTGGTACCAGGGCTTGAACTCGGCACCTTGAGCTTGCAAGGCAGGTGCCGGAACCACTGAGCTAAATCCCCGGCCCTCTGCTGCCTTTTTAAGGGATCTTTCCACCTCTTACAGGGAAGAAATTCCAGAGATTCTGAGTTTTGTTAGTACTTTTCTTCCACTTTTGACATACCATCCAATCCTATGACTTTAGCTACTGCTTACCCAAATATTGTGCCCAAATCCAGAACTGTCCTGAACTTCCACCATCCACTTACTCAGCTGCCTATGTCTTTACTCAGCTGTCTACCTGATTCTTCTCTATTCTCCATCATCATTCACTCAGCTGTCCAGGGCTTCTCCCTCTTTTGCCACCCAGTACAAAAGTCTTCCACTATATCCTATCAGTTTCCCCATAGAGGCCAACACAGGCTGGCCCAACCTTCCCATCCATAGCGACACTGCCCTAATGTGGTTAAGTCTAACAGATTGTGAAAATGGCTTCGATGATTTCTGAAGAGTTTCAGGGTGAACTGGCAGGAAGAGCAGATTTAGAGGTCTTGGGTGGGAATCAGGGTAAAGAAACTTGCTTTGGGGAGCTTTTAAAAAAGAGTAGGATGAGAAATAGAGCTGTGAACACAGGTAGCACTGAGATCAAGCACCATGAGATCCTAAAGAATGGGCTGCCCTTCCTGATAAAGTAGAGGCCAACCTTCTCTCTCCAATGACTGCATTTTATAAAAGTAACACATTTTCATTATAAAAAACTTTTTAAATAGGCTTGAGTGTGGTGGCTTATACCTGTGTAATTCCAGCACTTGGGGGACTGAAGCAGGAGGATCGCCTTGAGTTCCAGGTGAGCCTGGGCTACAAAGGGAGACCCTGTCTCAAATCAATCAAGCCATCCTATAATTTCAGTTCTCAAATTATTTTACATTTTGTTGTTTGTTTAATATTTTTATATGCCTATTTTTAAAAACAGCAAATGTGGGGCCAGGGATTTAACTCAGGGGTTCTTCCTCCTGCCTCGCAAGTGCAAGGTCCCAAGTTCAATCCCCAGTACCAATAAAACCCTAGCAAATGTGGGGTCTTTTCTAATCTTTTTCATTTAGCAATAATATTGTGATAACTTCTGATTATAAAACTAATACCTGGTTGAAAAAAACTTGTGAAAATAAAAATTACCAGTGATCATATTGCCCAAAAGATGACCAGAGTTAATATTTTCATATATTAACAACCCTATTTTCTTTATGTGCTGTGATATATTGTAAATATATTGTGAGCATTGCCACACTAAGCCAATTGTTCCTAGCTGGAAATTTAGACCTGCTAAAAAGCTTTTCACTATTTTAAATAACAATTTGATATAAAGTTTGTATAATATCTATGCATTTTTTCTTGTTTTAGGATAAATTTGTATAAGAATTACTGAGGTGGAGGATATCCTCTTTTTAAGATTCTTCCTATATATTGCCAGTTTGTTCACTAAAAAGGCTGTGCTAGTTTATATTTCCATGAGTTTTTGTTTTTACCATACCTTTGATAGTACTATGAGGCTTCTTTTTAAAGCTTCTTTATTAATTGGTGGGTAAGAAATTATTCCATTGTTTGAATTTTATCATGGCACTGGCAATATGTATATTATTTCATATATTTATTGTTTTATAAATTTTAGATTTATGTTGTGTGTTCACTTTTCTATCCAAATGTTCTTTTTTTTACTGAACTGCAAGGCCGCATCTTGTCAAGACTTCCCTCCATTTTATCATTTTTCTTTTCCTCTTTTTTACAATAATTTTTTCTAATAGTTTGGAGTTTCTAGGTAATCAAATCTATCACACTATGCCTTTATATTTTCTTTGTTTGTTTTTATGGGTAGAAAACTTTACCACCCTATAGTAGAAAAGTGCTTGCTTGTGTGGCTATTGTTGTTTTTTACATTCAGCATTGACTTTACTAAGGAATCCTTCATGAATGACATGAGGCTTGAGGGCTTTTGTTTAACCAGTGGTTCAGAGCTATCACAGAGTAACTTGGGGGGGGGGGTAGCAGGTAAGCATTAGCACTGCCCCCTGGGGTGTCCCTGATGGGGACCGGAAGGAGGGTAGACAAGGGGTTGGGGGTAGATATTCTCCCAGTCACTAGCCTATGAGTGGGAGGAGAAACACAAGCTGGCATGTGGCCCTTAGGCTCTGCAGAATGTCCCCAGCACTGTCCAGTAGAGATTGCCCCAGTGGGCCTGAGGGCCCCATTCAGGGGTGTGGTAGTGCCTGTGAGGCTGAGCCCTGCTCCAGGTCTGTTCTGGACCTCAGCAACTCTCCTGAGACAGCGTCAGTGACTATCCTAGGCAGCCAGTTTTGGGTTTGACAGACCTGCTCCTACAGCCTGGCTTTTAGGTGTGAGCTTGGGTTGCTGGGCAGTAGACCTCAGTCCTTTCCTCGGGGCACTGACTGCATTCCAGCCATCTGCCTTGGGAGGGGCCTTGCCTATCACTGACATCTCCACCCCTCTTGATCCAGCTGGCTCTTGACTCACATTGGACTACTCCGCCTCTCTTTACTCATAACTGCCTAGCCCCACCCCTTTAACCTGAATTAATTTACTCTCTTGAAGCCACCTCTTTTTTCCTTCAAAGGAATGTCTGAACCCCTCATCCTTCCCATTGTGCCTTTCTGCTGGATCATCTTCCTCCACCCGAGTTTCTAATCCACTGGCATTCACACCCCCATACCTCTTCATAGCTTGGCTCCCCTCTTTGGTTTCTCAGAAAAAGGCAAGAATGTGGCTCCTCCCTCTTTGCTTCTGAACTGCATTTCTTTTTCTGTATTACTCAGTGTCCATGCCCAGGGTGGGTGCCTGGATAAAAATGTGTCCCTTTCCCCCATTATCTTTTTAGGCCAGACATAAGAAGTGAGGAATGTCAACCTTCCCAGGCCCTGTTGGAGGCTCTCCACTCCTCACAGTGGCCTGAGGGAGAGCAGTGTCCTCTTGAGGTTACCTAGCTCCTGGATTCCAAGCTTAGTCTCAGCAACTAAGCTGGTTTATGGAGCACCACTAAGTTAATGATTATTCCTGTCTAACTAGGAAGGGAGGAGCTCACTCCCCATTTTACCCATTTCTGTGAGGCTTTCAGGGACTCTGGACCCCACACTGACCTCTTTTCCCCAGACTGGCTGGCTTGAAGTCAGAGGACCAGGCCATTTCTCAACTACAGTTTGTTGACTTTTCATGAAACACCTTCTCTTGGGAGGTCAGACCAGGTGATTTCAACTCTTCAGCTTTGACATTTTTTTGAGGCAATGAAGAGGGGAAAGTTACCTGCCTGGCCAGGGGGGACGTGATCATACCTGTTTGATGGGCTCCAGAGAGGTCCTCTAACAATGGGGTATGGGGAGGTGAGGATTCCTGTGGGGACTTCTGGTTATGGGGAGCCCACTGCACTGATTGGGTAGGTGCCCTGTAGGGTACACCCTGTCACAGAAATTCACAATCCTGCTCATTTTTACTGGTCTTGTAGGGAGGTCAGGTTCAGTTGGCTAATCCCACCCTTAAACCCACTTAATCCTCCCCCCCCCCCATACTGGGGATTGACCTCAAGACCTTGCACTTGTGGGACAGGCGCGGTGCCACTGAACTAAATCCCCAGCCCCTAAACCCCTTAATTTCTTTCTACCTGTTCTTAGAGCAGTATGATTATCTGGGAACTGAAATGAGTATGTCAGTGTCTTTATTGGGTGTAGTACAGATAAATCATCTCTTGTCCTACATCCAGCAAGTTGGTAGCAAAATTAATCTTTCCCAGTATGCCTATGGGGATGAAATCTGTCCTGTAACCTTTTACTCCACTCTGGCTTACCAAAGATCTCTTGGCTTTGGCTACTAGGATACCTAGCCTGATACATGTTAGGCATGCAGTAAGTATTTGTTAATGAATGTTGCTCAGTGTGTCCCCAAGTGTAGCAGTCTTCTGTCCTTTCCTCTATTTTTCTGTCTCTGTCTTTTCCTCTTCACTCCACAGCTGACCATCTCCCTTCAGTCTTGTTCAATTATGATGGGTGAAAAGTTCCCTAAAGCCAATAGCTGAAGATGAGAAGTCTGGCCTGAAGGGCTGGCACATCTGCGATCTAGAGGAAATAGCTGTGCTTTTAGCTCCCCCCCCCCCCGCCCCCGCCGCCACAATGTGTCACCACTTGGTAGGAGTCAGGGAACTGGTTTTCCTACAGCTCTTGGAGCTGTTACATAGTACTTTGTTGGGATAAGCGGGGAAGGGGAAGGTAAGGAAATTCTCTGGCTCAGTCTTATTTGAGCTGAGTATGGGGTACACAAGGCAGGAGGAAGAAGACTGAAAATAGAAACTCTCCTATGAGAAAATGCACAGAGGTGGACAACTCGGGTTTCCTCCTGCCCCAATGGCTCTAAGCACATAGAAGCTATACAGAGACTTTAGGAAAACTGCTTGAAGATGGTGGCCTTGGGATCATTCCCCAAACCTGCCAAGTTTTGTGCTGAAACATCAAAAAAGCTTCTCTTTCCCTTGAGTGGAAACTCTTGCCAACTTCTACCTTGGGACAGGAAGCTGGGGCTAAAATGTTAAAACAGCCTGATTCACTACTTTTGACTTTTATCCCCCACCCCACCCCACGACCCATATCTCCTACTCCCACTGTCCATTCCTGAACTGAGAGAAACCTTGACTGATGAGAAATTCTGTTTTGGCCATTTTCAGGCTCTGAAAGAAATCATGGGCCCAGCAAAAGCCTCCTTTTTAAACCTTTGCTTTTGCCTAACATCCCCTGGCTGTTGTCCCCATATGACCCAAATAAACAGATGATCATGTGAAGCCAGTAAGGCTGTTTGTTTTAAATAGCAAGCATCTCCACTAAGCTCTGGAGCAGATGGGATACTGGGAACAAGAGAAAGGCTAGCATTCAAATTTGTGTTTACCCCCCCCCCTTTTTTTTTGAGATCGGGCCTCACTATGTAGTTCAGGCTGGCCTCAAACACCTGTGATCTTCCTGCCTCAGCCTCCTGAGTGCTGGGATTACAGGCATGCACCACCACATCTGGCACACTCCACTTTTATCCCCTGCTTCCTCACCCCTGATGGAAAAGGTGTCTTCAGGATACTGCTTTTTAGAGAGGTGCTTATTGAATGGTATAGAGCTAGTCCCTGACAAAGTCAGGAAAATTGGATTTCAGCCTCTAGAAGAAACGGGCTGCATGGGTCCCCTGACCACCTCAAGAAGGCAGGGACAGACAGCACATAGCTCTCTAAGCTAAAGTCTATGGTGCTGGCTCCAAGCAAAGTGAAACTTGCTATGAGAACTTACATATAGACTATGATGTATACTGTTTAACCCCCCCCCCATCCCCTACCTATATATTGCCTTTAAGTTTCCTATTTTCTCTTGTGCAGAATAGGCCAGGCCCAACCATACCGGGAAATAGGTGGCAGACAAGAGGAGCAATGTCAGGACCAGCACTCATCACGCCTTCCTAGGAAAAGACCTCATCCCATGGAGAAGAACTAGGCTATTGTGTTTTAATCTCCCCTTGCTCCATAGTCATCATAAGCAAAGTCAGTGGCTCCCAGACATTCGTGTTTCTTCCTGCACAGCTCCAGATGGTTGGACATTATGTATGCCAAGATCAGATGCTGTGTGTGAGGATTTTTATTTCCAGGATCTTCTGTGCAGGTTTTCTTGCCTAGGATGCACTGATGCCCTCAAAGGAAAGTAGCAAAGCCAGCAAGCATCCATTTATATGGGCTTTCTATGCTTCTGGCTCTTCTCCAGCTAGTCCCTGAAATGGGCATGAAGGTGCTGTGTGGATGGGATGAACTGGCAGGATCGCCTGCCTCAGCCATCCTCAGGAGGGTTTGCTTCGGCACTGTGTAATGGTGAAGCCCAGATTCCAGGATCCAGAAACCAGTACATCGCTCCATTCTCAGGGTTAACCCAAAGAGCCTGTGGCTGTAACAGGGATCCTGTGGCTAGTGTTGTGACAGTAGAACTGGATATGCCCCAGGGTGCCCTAAATATGCTTTCATCCGGCCTGTATCTGTCACTGCCAGCGTTACCAGTGGTGATGGTGTAGCCTCCAGCAAAGCAAAACAGCAGGATTGGGTTTCAGGCAATTTTTGTTGCCCCAAATCACAATGTGTCAAGTAGTCAGACCCTTTCCTGACTGGCAGTTTGATGTTCCCCCTTGGCTTTCTTCCAATTGGGGTTTCTGCCTCAGAACTGACATCAAAGAGTCACCCTGGGATCAGAGATAAATGCTCCTCTTCATGGGGCAAAGAGCAGCAGGAATACTGAATGATCTTAGACAAGTCCCTTCCTGTCTCTGAGCTGCAGTTTCTTTATAAGCAAAGTAAGAGGATCTGGGCAAGTTGACCTCAAAGGTCTAACTTTCTGGTTGTGCGCCTGTCCTTAAACACTAGCGTCAGAAAGAGGCGGGCGGGCGTGCCCCAGGGAGAGCGCGGTTACAGCCAGACACTGCGGCCCCGCCCGCAGCCCTTGTCGCCAAGCCTCCGGGAGGACCCGGCTTCCGCCCTCCACGTTGTTGTTCCCGATTTGGGCCACGCCCCCTCGGCCTGGGCTAGGGAGGGTTCGCTTTGACCGCTGCTGCCCCGGCCCCAAAGCAAAGGGTGGCTTCTGGGCTAGCACAGAGTCTCCACCCATATCAGACACGCGTGAACAAAGACAAGGATTTAGGGGTAGGAAAGAGAAGGACGTGGATTTAAATGGGAGAGTGGGGAACAAGAGGGCTGGCTATAGCACGACTGCGGGATTCCCCTTTAGGTGTCTCACCCTCTGTTCACACAGTGGCCCCATCCGAACCCGCTAATGTGACCCTGCCGACGTTGGCCCTTTAAATAGCAGGCTGGCGGCGCGGGGTGTCCATGTGGAGCCGCTCCATGCCGTGTTGTCCTGCCCGTCTATTGGCCCGCGGCCCGGTGACGTAGCCTAATAGGATGCGAACGCACTGCGGGGGGAGGAACGGAGACAAAACGAGGAACCGGATTACCACTCCGCTCTCTCCGCCCGGTATTTTGCAGCCTGCTGCCGTCGGCTCCGCCCCAGGGCGGATCCCGGGGGAATTGCGACAACTGAGTGGTTGTGGGATTTAGGTCGCGGGTGGGTGGGGAACGGAGACCTAGGAGTCAGGCCCGTCTCTGGCATCGTGAAGTTTCCCTGACCTGGAATATCCTTATCTGGGCTTAAGTTTCCTTGAATTTTCGACCTTTTCTTCCCGCCTGCAGGACTGATTGTCGTCGTGAATGACCCGAGCAAGTTCCCCTTGCTCAACTAGTGGCTTGCAAACGGGGCGGGGCGGGGCTAGGCGGGAAAGCGGAAATACAGCAAGGAAATCTGGCTCCAGCTTCTTCCACCCCCACCCCGTCCACGTGTGCGCGCGCGCGCCCTGTCTGTGGTGGGCGGGGCCAGCCTGCGCGCGACCCCGCCCCTCCCTTCGCAAGACGCCGCGGCCCTGCGGGCGGGGGCTCCGGTCCGGGCTTTGGCTGCGGCCCCGGTATAGTAGCGGGGGCGGCGGCCGGGGGCAGCGCGGCTCCTTCCCTTGTTGTGTGTGTCGGTGCCTCCTCGCCATCTTGTTGCAAAGCCCTTTCTTGTCGGCGGGACTCTTGGGGGCCGCGGGGCGGGAGGCATCAGAAGGAAGCGAGAGAGGGAGGGGAAGGAGGGAGGCAGTGCAGCCTTTTTTTTTTGCATCAATGTTTTAAATTTGCAAATTTATATTTTGCAAATATTTTGGGAGACATTGATTTTTCTCCCTGTGCTCCCCCCCTCCCCGTTCTTTCCTGTGGAGTGCGCTGCGTCGCCCAGCCCTGTCGCCCCCCGGAGGTGGTCCCTCCCTCCTGCCCGCCCGCCAGCCTGACCTGTGCTTGGCTCGCGGGCCGCAGCCTCGGCCCCGGCGCGCCCCCGGCCGCTCTCGGCGCAATGAGCATAGAGACGCTACTGGAGGCGGCCCGCTTCCTGGAATGGCAAGCGCAGCAACAACAGAGAGCACGTGGTGAGCGGCCGGGCTGGGCCCCTGGGGCACGGGGGAAGGGGAGGCGAGTGACCCCGGCCCCCGAACGCACGCGAGACCTCAGGCAAACCCCCCTCCCCGGCGGCCCAAGAAGCCGGACTGTGCACAGCTCTCCGAAAGAGCCGCCGCCCGGAAGGAGTGATGTGGGCAGTTAAAATAATTAATGAATCCATTAACATGCAGCGAGGGACCCGGCTCCTGCGGGCACAGCCCCAGCTGCTTTTGCACCCTTGTGCACCTTCCACTGGGGGCTCCTTTAGCGTGGCCCGGCGGCGCCCTCCGTAGCTCTGAAGATGTGAGTCGGGGTGGGGTGGGGTGAAGTGAAGGATGATGTTTCGTGGAGGTGGCAGACCCGCGTGTGCGTGCGTGTGTGCACGGGGGATGTGTGATGGTGCCTCGGGGAGAGCGGATGCACGGACGTGTACCCGGACGTGTGTACAGCACACGAGTGGGCGTGTGTGTAACGAAGTGGGGGTGGGGATTACTCTACGCCGAACTGTTCTCCGGCTTCCCCTGCCCCGGCGGGAGGGTGCGGGGGGCGCTCCCGGCAGATCTACGCGCCGCTTGGGGCGGAGGCGGCCTTTGCAGAATGAAATGACATCGCGTGTCTTATGATCCTGGCCAGCCCCGCCTCACCCCGCCTCCCAGAGCCGGGCTGGGTCGCGCGTCAGGGGTTTGGGTGAAAGCTGGGCTGATTGGGTGTCTGTTAAACGGCCCGCGGGTCGCTGCGGGCAGCCCCCAGGGCCCCCTCCCAGCGCCCCGCTTTAGCCGGTGTGGAATGTGGCGTGTCTGCGCGTTCCAAACCCGCTCAGGGCTGGAATGTTGCGTGTGCCTGCGTTCCATGCCCGTTGGTTACACCGGGTGGTGACGTGGACGGGCCCCGCCCCCGACCACGTGCACGGGGGACACTCCCGCTGGGGACGGCTGGGCCTGGCCCCTCCTCGAAGCCAAGCGCTCGCCCCGAGGCGGGGCCTGGGCGGGGCTGGCGAGAGGCCTTGCGCCCGGTTGGGCCCTGGCCTCTGGGCATCTCCCGGGGAGAGCCTTTGCCCTGAGAAGGAGGAGCTGCGTTCACCTTTCGGTTCTCACCTGAATCTCTTGTATTTAATCCTGAGGCGAGGGAAACTCCGGCTCTCAGCCTGACAGGCTATTTAGAGTTCACATCTCCCCCCCCCCCCCAAAAAAAATTCTCACCAGGCCTTCCTGCTGTGTCCCTTGTCACACTGTGGAATGAGCTGGGCTGAGAAGGGGCAAACTTCAGTGCTCCCTCAGGAGCATTTTAATGCCTCCTATCCCCGTGCGCCCTTGGTGTTGGTCCCTAGCTTCAGGGTGCTGCAGAAAAAAGGACTGAAAGGAAGGACCTCTGCTCTCCTGTCTGCTTCGAGGGCCTCAGCCTTGGACCAGTGTGTATGCAGTTTCCGTGGACTCTTGCGCTTTCTTTAGCCCTCCCAGAACCCCTCTGCCGGGTCTGTTGTGCTAAAGAGTGCTTCGCCCTCCTTTTTCTCTCTGCCTATTGTTGCTTCAATGATGAGTCATGCAGGAGGTAGTAGTGTGTTATGGGCGCGCTCGCGCGCGCGTCCGCACGGGCGCGCCTACAGCTCGTGTGGCTGCTGCCTCGGCTGGCGGGGGGGCGGGCGGGGAGGAGTGGAGTAGAGCGAAGCGCAGCCGGCTAGGGCGGGAGCAGTCCGCAGGCCGAGTAGAACCGACCTATGGGCCTCTCAAGGTCAAGAGTCACTGGAGATATTCTAGACCTAGATGCTTGGGTTTTACGGAGTTAATGGGCAGGGATATTCTCCCACACGCCCCTCCCCCCTTGCCTTTGGGGTCCAGAGCAGGGTCAAACAGTGGACAGTGCTGGTGGTGGCCCAGAATGCCCTGTGTGTAGTCCCAGTGGTGGAGGAAGGACTATGCACAAGGTTTGGAGGACTAAGTCATCTGCTGCCACCATCAACACAATTAAAAAGTGCCAGGTGTGTCCCAGCTGTGTATCAGGGGCTGTGCTCGAGGTGAACCAGACTGACTCTGCTCTTGCCTCCAGGGAGCCCTCTGTCGTTTCACCTGGCCTTACCTGAAGGCTGTGTGACCACATTGGGAAGGGGAGGAGACCCTCACTGTCTTGCCTCCCACCCTTTCCCAGTTAAGCCCAGAGCAGCCTATAGGATGGAATGGGATGATGAATGCAGCTCTGCCCAGAAACTGGGAAAAACTTCTCTGTCTAGAAATTGCAGAACCCTGTCTCCCCTCCAAGGGTTGAGAACTGGGGACAGGACAAATTCAACTGCTCAGTGGGCTTCTTGGTGCTGGATCAGGGGACTGTAGGGGATAAGTGGGTGCTGGAAAGCCAAAATCTGCTCCAAGAATTCATGTATACAGATGGCCAGACTTGTTCCCAGCAGTTTAATCAGCAAGATTCACTTTTTTTTCCCTCTTGAAGTTCTGTCCTTTGACTTGAAGCAGGAAGAATGGGAGCAATGAGGATGGGAAGTGAACCTGTTGATGGGAACTGCCTTCCTAGGCTATTACTTGACAGTCATCGCTGAAGGGGAATCTTATTGTCCATTCTCCCTTTCAATCTTCAGGGCAGGTTTCTTGGCCTAGACTAGACAGTTTGCTTACATAATGAACCCAAGAATGTGTGAGCCTGTGAGCATGTATGAGCAAGAGAAAGGAAGAAAGGACAAGCCCATCCTGATGCTCAGCAGGAGGACCTGGCCTAAGCCTATCATTCATGGAGGTGACTTGAACTAGACTCTACCTAAACTGGAGAGAGCTGGCCAGATTATCCAGATGCCTTGACCACATCCTGCCCTCCATCTGCCTTATATGCAAAGCTTCTTGGTACGCACGTGGAAGGGGACAGTGTTTGTGCCCTGGAAGACCTAGAAGAAGGCCATGCTGAATTCTTTGGGGGAGCATCTGAGTTAGAGCCAAGGGAGAGTATGCATGTGCCTATATGTGAGTGAGAGACAGCATGCACCTGTGAGTGTGCAGAACATTCTTTTAAAGAGACTCAACAGGTTGCTCCTGAAGGAGGCCCACTCACCACCAGTGTGCTTCCTCTTTCCAGTGCACTGGAGAGGGTCCCCGCTGGGTGGGAAGTGAGTCAGAGCTGGGGGGAAGGGGCAGGAACCTCCGTGAGCTGGCTGTGGCCTAGGGCAGCCTTCTCAAGGTTTATCATGCTGATCCAGGTATGGCAGAGCTTGACCATTCACCTGAGTCATTTCTGGCACCTGTAAGGTACATCTGCCAGGCTCTCTGGAAAAGAAGGTAGGGAAGGAGTCTGCTCTCTTTTAGGTGAGCTTTAGACTTGCTTTAAAATATGGGGTTTGAAAAATAAAAAATAAAATATGGTGTTGCCTTCAGTTTGAGTTCCTTCTCCCAGTGGAGCATTTGTCCCAAGACAATGAAAGTTTGTAAGTCAGAGGAGTGGAGGTGGGAGCTGTGTTGGGCCTTGTCCTGGGAGAAAGAACTGGCGATATTGAAGGCTGGGCTTGAGAGGGACCCTGGCTGGAACTCAGCAGGCTTCTTTGCCAGTGGTTTGGGGGAAGCTGCAGAGCAGCAAGCTGGTTTTCTCTGGTGCTGTAACATAAACCAGGGCTGGCAGGGAGAGGCCTGGGAGAACAAGGTCTTCCCTCATTGGAGCAGGCCTGTGCTGGCCTGGCAGCTCCTTTTCATAAAGAGCGGGGATGATAGGAAGAGGCCTACTGACTGGCAACCCTGAGCTCTGGCGGGTGGGAAACCTCTAAGCACTTCCCCTCAACTTCCTCCTTCCTCCTTCCTTCCTCTTTTTCCTCCCCAGGGAGGACGGCCCCGGTGGGGTGGTGTGTTTGGGGCGTGTCCACCGCCAGTGCTGTCAGCTGTGTTAGCACAGTGGTGAATGGAGGCAGGAGAAGAGGGCTGGTTGTCCAGCTCCTCCTAGCCTGGGGGTAGTCTAGCTCCTCAGAGGTCTTAGTGGCCTTAGTGGCTGGGCCTGGGAGAGGACCCAGTAACAGTGGAGGGATGAGGAGGGAACTGGGTGAAAGGCTCATCTTCCTGCTGGACTTTCAGCAGAGATACTGAAGGAAGTGATGGGTGAAGGTGGCTTGAGTCTGTGGCTTTACATGGCCTCTTCCAAAGAGCCCAACCTACCTTTCTGCTTGCCTCCTTTCTAGTTTTTTGCTGTGGGTGGTTTTGAGGATGAAGTGGGGCTGGGGGAAAGAAATTAGTCCCAACATGAGCAGGGGCAAGTGTGTTTGTTGAGTAGTCCTTGAGGAAATCAGAGGCCTTAAGACCTAGCCTGGGAGTCAAGAAGTTCTGGGCCATTTCCTCATGAAGTGCAGGTGATCTCCCTACCCTGCCTGTGACATGGGGGCTCTTGTGAGGATCCAGGGTGTGTCAGTGTATGTGAGAAGACACACGGTGAGCTTATGTTGACATAGCAAGTACAGAGCATTTGGCTAGGTGTCAAGAGACTTTGCTTTGTGATTCTCAATAAATCACTTTGGCTGTCTGAGCTCATTTATTGCATCTGTGAAATGAAGGTACTGCCTGCCCTTTACAAGGTACTTGGTCCCTATTGTGGAAGGCCTTCCACAGAAGCTAAGACCTGTCAGCACCCCCTCCATTCTCATAAGCTGGCTTCAGCACTCTTTCACGGTCTGGCCTCTGTCCAGCTCTCCAGCCTCCGTATCTGTCCCTCTAGGCTCCTCAGCCCCCTTTGGTCCTGACTCCTGCACATCAGTCCCTCTCCCCTCAAGCTATAGCTGCATAGGTTGCCCAGCCTGCAGTGTCCTCTCTCATTGCTCTGCTCTGCACTCTCCGTTGGCAGGGGCCAAGCCTGCTTTCTTAGTTCACTACTATTTCCTGGGCATGAATTTACCCAGTGCCTGGCTGGACACGGTTGCATATGTGTGCTATCTCAGGGCGGGCAGGGGTGTCACTGAGCGCTGACTGGGTTAGGGTCAGAGGATGGCTTAGGGTCGGAGAAGGTACAACAAATGCCTGGGACAGTTGGCCCCCCTGAGACCCCCCCCCCCTTGTATTCTCTCTGCATAGAGGAGCAGGAGCGGCTTCGCTTGGAGAGGGAGCGAGAGCAGGAGCAGAAGAAGGCCAGGCTGGCACATGCTCTGCCCGTGGAAGAACCCCGAATTGAGGCACCACCCCTGCCCCTGTCTCCCCCAGCACCCCCACCAGCACCCCCACCCCCACTTGCCACCCCCACCCCACTGACTGTCATTCCTATTCCTGTAGTGACCAACTCCCCCCACCCACTGCCCCCACCCCCACCGCTGCCCCCTGCAGCTCAGCCTCTGCCCCTGGCACCTCGGCAACCAGCCCTGGTCAGCACCCCTGGACTCAGCATTAAGGAGCCTGCCCCGCTGCCTCCCAGGCCTCAGGTGCCCACCCCTGCTCCCCTCCTGCTGGACTCGAAGACCACCGTTGCTCCCACTGGCAGCCCCAAGCCTTTGCAACCCCTTCCTACGCCCATCTTGACCATAGCGCCGCACCCAGGAGTCCAGCCTCAGCTGGCCCCCCAGCAGCCACCCCCACCCACGCTTGGGACCCTGAAGTTGGCACCAGCTGAAGAAGTGAAATCCAGTGAACAGAAGAAGAGGCCTGGGGGGTGAGTGGGATGTGGCAGAGTTGGGGCTGGTGGGATGGAGAAAACTGTCTACACTCTGGGCTGTGTGTGCAAGAGCAGATCCCCTACCTAGGTAGCCCCTCTAGGCATGCCCTGCCCAACCCTGGAGTGCCTCTTCTATTTGGATACATTCTCTCGGTGCCTGTTTTTCTTCTGGGAATGAATGGCCATTGCTGTCTGTTTTCAGGCTTCTGTCATCTCTGACCTCCCTCCAACGCTAGCGTGCTTACTGCATTTCCAAGCCTTTGGGCAGAGTATTGGATTATGGGCCTCTTGGGTAGAGGGCTTCTGAGTCCCAGGTCACTTCTGTCTCCTCATAGTTTGTCACGTAGGATGGAGGGTTACAGATGTGGCGGCGAACCCCCCTCCCCCCCATCGCTGCTCTCAAATGTTGAAGACTAAAAGCCTGTGGAATGGGGTGGGGGTGGCAGTGGGGATCAGGAAGGCCGCCTAATCAGGCCCTCCTCCCTGAGCCTCCTGTCTGTCTGGGTTTCAGGATCGGAACCAGAGAAGTCCACAACAAATTGGAGAAAAACAGGTGTGTGTGCGTGCGTATGTGACTCTGGGCCCGCCTGCTCCTGGACTCCCCCTCTTTGAGCCCCTCCAGATCTCCCCTTGGTCCCTCCCTCCCCGCCGCCAGCCCCTGCCTTCTTGGGCGCTGGCTGACCAGCGCTCACTCCCTCTCCCTAGGAGGGCCCATCTGAAGGAATGCTTTGAGACCCTGAAGCGCAACATCCCCAACGTGGACGACAAGAAAACCTCCAATCTGAGCGTGCTGCGGACGGCGCTGCGGTACATCCAGGTATGGGGGAAGAAAAAGCAGAGGAAGGTGGGCGGTGCCGGGTTGGCCACAGCGCCTGCTTCCTCCCGGCTCCACAGCCCTCCTTCCCTCCCTCCCTCCCGCGCTCGCCTGCCGGCTCCCCCGCCCGCCTCCACGCGGGCGCTGAGCACATGGCCCCGGTGACGTCAGCGGGGCTCCCAGCCCAGGAGGGAGCGGATGGAAAGGCGCGCGTGCGCGGGAGAGAGGCGGTGCTCGGCTCCCCTAAGCCCCATTTCCCTGTGCGGCGTGTCTATGCGGACTCCACGCCCGCAAGACACTGAGACTCTTGCTGTAGGTTCACGGAACCTCAGTGTCCGCTGCCGGACCCCCCTTGGCCTGTGCTAGCACTCAGCGGGCGCCGCCCCCCCCCCCCGTGTCTCCCCGCCCACAGTGCCTGGTGCCCCAGTGGCTGGGCGGGGGGATCCTGGGTGTGGCCTCACGTCCACCCTGCGGCGCGCAGGTTAAGGCCCCCACTTTTACCCCTGAAGGGCTAAGAGCATTTTGGCATGTGCATTAACGTGCTGTAACCCCGAGTTTGGGAGTTGGGGACTGCGGCGGTCTGATAGCACTGAGGTCACTGAATCTTAAAACATCGCGCTTTCCTTTCGCCCGAGTTAAAGGGGTCCCCTTTTTTAGGGAACCCACCTGACTGTGTCTCCTCCCTTTGGGCACTGGCTGCGCTGTGCAGATTGGGAGACTGCCAGATAGGACAGTTGTCTTGACGGCTGGAGTTTCGGTTTCCCTGGAAACCGCGGAGGGTTCCACGTGCTGTGGAGGCCATAGGGGGATGGGGCGGACGGTCACGCTCGGCTTCCGCGGCGCGCCGTTGGGGTTATGGGAGGGACTTAGGGCTTCCAGCCGCGCGGGGCAGGGTGAGGTAGGTTGAGCCTCAGCTAGTTGTCCCTCTCGGCTCACTTGAGCAGCCTTGGGGAGCTTTGGGGGGCTGGGCGGTGTCAAAGCCTCCATGGGAGCGCTTGTAAAGCTAGTCGAAGGTGAGCTACCACACCCTGGGTCCCAGCCTTAAAGTAACCGGAGCCTGACTTGGCGGAGGGCGGAGGTGCTGCTTCCCTGTGCCAACCGGTGGCTCCCTACGCCTCCCGCAAACGTGCGCCTTTCCGCCCGCCCTCCTGAGCAGGGAAGAGGGCCTGGCGCCCCTCCAGGTCGCTTCCCGGCAGCTGTAGGGGCGGGGTCGGGCAGGCGGATTGGCTCAGCCGAGCGTGGGGCGGAGCTCCTGGGCGTGGAGGGAGGGTGCGGCCCGCTGCGAGTGACGCAGCGTAGCCGGCCCCGCGTGGGTGCACAAGTGCTCTAAGAGGGGCGGGGCGGGGCGGGGCGGGGCGGGGCCTGGCCTGGCCTGCGCCTCGTGACCCGGGCTCCGCTTGCGGAGGGTCCCACTGAGGCCAGGAAGATAGGGCAGGGTGCTTGTTTTCAGTATATTTTTGTACAGTTTAGGCTTAGGTGTAATTTTCATAGCTTCAGCCATGCAGTGCCCTTAACAAATCGCTGTGGATATGCTGTGGCATTTTTTTATGGATACCAGTTTCCTCTTGTGAATGATGATGCTAAATAGGAAGAACAGTGCCATTGAGATATTAGGGTGATTGAAATTGTTAGTAGAAGTAATTTGCAGCAGTCTAAACATTAACTTAATAGGAATTAGTGAGAAGGAATGCCAAGTTCTTTTGGTTTTTTTTTTTTTTTTTGGTACCGGGGATCGAACTCTGGACCTTATGCTTGCGAGGCAGGCGGCAGAACCACTGAGCTAAATCCCCGGCCCAATGGCAGGTTCTTTATAGTTGCATGCTTGGGGAGAGGAGACTTGCATAACACCTGGATTTGAAAATAAATTGGAAGAGGATTCAGTGGGAGCTGCAGAGTGAAGCTCCTTAGGACTAGGCCTGGGCTGAATAAGGGAGTGGAAGCTATCCCAAACTATCTGTAAGGGATGCTTGTCTTATAATAAAAGCAGAAACAGTAAATTCGTAAGACTCGAAACCCTCAACTGACCATCACTTGTTGATTTATTCTTTCAAGCTCTTTTAACTAGACTCTGGGTCTGCTTCTGAGGATACAGTGGAAAGCAAAGAAAGGTTAGGCTTTTGTCCTCCTAGGTTTGGTCTCCTGGCAGATTGTTAACATGGGAACACGCAGAGGACTGCCAGGAGAGCACAGTGGGGATGGGGTGGCAGAATCTGTTTTGGAGCCAGGCATGGTGGTGCACACCTGTGATCCTAGCACTCAGGACACTGAAGAAAGAGGATCACCACAAGTCAAGAGGCTGGCCTGGGCTACATAGTGAATTCAAGACCAGCCTGCTCTATATAGGGGAAGAAAATCTGGGGGAGTTAGGGAAGTTGTTGGCTGAGGAATTTTCAAAATGAAACCATTAGGGTAAATAAGACAAAGTGGAGGACAGAGAGCCCCACACAGGCCGGTTTCTCTAGCAGGAGGGAAGATGATTTTTTTTTTTGCTTTTTGGTTTTGGTACCGGGGATTGAACTCGGGTCCTTGCGCTTGCGCAGCAGGCAGCGAAACCACTGAGCTAAATCCCCGGCCTGAAAATGTTTTTTTGAAAGTAAAAAGATGGTTAAGAGCATTGGCATTCAATAAGAGTTAAAAGTTGGGGGGCTGGGGATTTAGCTCAGTGGTTCTGGCGCCTGCCTCACAAGCGCAAGGACCCGAGTTCGATCCCCGGTACCAAAAAAAAAAGTCCTGGAGAGAGCAGTAGGGCAGGGCAGACTAAGGGTGTTGTTAGTGTGTTGAGAGAAGGAGGCTATAGGAAGGCAGTAGTCCCTAGGTAGACAGTATAGCCTTGCTTGGATGTGGTAAAGGACTTGAAGAAAGCGCCAGTGAAGTGGAAAGACACGGGAAGAGTAGGCATGCGATCAAGTAGGCTAGGGGTAGGCAAGGAAAGGCCTTTCCTGCTCTTTCTAGTAGAAATAAGTAGAGCAGGTTAAACTTAACATCGGGATGATAGATGGGGGCTGTGTGGCCTGGGACTGGTGTCAAATATGTCAAGACTGGTATAGTGCATGGCTCTGTATGGGTTATGCACCCATTAATCGTTTGAGGCATCACTGGTGAGGTCAGAAATACAGTTCAGCGCTGCTGGAGAAGCGTGGGGGGTTGGGATTGAAAGTGTTGCCTAGTCAAGAAAAGCTGCTACACAATAGCAGAACTGCCTCCAGGCGGGGGAGATTCAGGTTTTCCAAGTCCCTGCCATTCCCTCTGCTGGGAAGGAGAGACAGGACAAAGGTGGGAACTGGGACACTCACCAGGAAGTGGCACACTGCTGGGCACAGTGGTCCTGGCCACTGCTAGGGTCAAGGGTGTAAACTAACTATATAACAATCTTTATCTATAATTGCAGAGTGAACAAAGAGTGTGTATTGAGCTGGACAGACAGAACACACACAAGACGGTGTAGTGGTTTGTAGGAGAGCCTGTGTCTGACTAAGCCCCGTCTGAGTCATGCCCAAATGTGTGGTATAGGTGCTAAGAAGTGCTCTGAGGCAGCAGGCTGAGGACAGACCATGGAGGCCACCAGGTGTGGTCTTGGAGCAGGAGCATGAAAGACCTAGGGATGAAGGAGGCAGGATCTGAGTGTGAGCATCCAGGCAGTCAGGATTCCCAAGGAAAAACCAAAACAAATCAGAGTTTGGATTGAGAAGAGCCTGTGGACTCCTCGACTGGCAGGCTTGGAAGCTGGGCGCTCAGGAGCAGGTTGAGGGAGCGGCTGCCCTGTCTGGTGGACACAGCAGTCACAACTTGCCTAGGTGAGGAGAGCTGCCTGCAGGGAGGCCTGTGAGATGGAGAAGAGTTGGGCTCATGAAGTATCTATCAGTCAGGACTTTTGTGTGGAGGGGAACTGAGAGGCGAGACCAGAGCTGGCCTTCTGGAGCTGCTGCTGATCCTGTCAGGAAACTAGAGTGATCCCCCAGTGTGAGAGCCCCAGCACTTGGCACCTGCCTACCTGAGGGGTTTGCACCTGACGGGTGGAAGGTTGTTGAAGTCAAGAAGAGGACACCGTGGATTAGGGACCCCTCTGTTTTGGGGAAGTGGGCAACATTGGTGTGGTGGGATGGGCTGACCTGAAACCTGTGGATGAGAACAGAAGTCTCTCCAGGGGTGCTTAGAGTCAGTGGGTGCTGTCGAGCTCATTTCTTACTGAACAGTGGCCATATTCCACGGTTGGGGATTCATGCTGGGGAGTCTGTGGGAAGGTGCTGGGCAGGAAGCGGTGTGTTACCATTGTATCTCAGAGGCAGTGCAGGTGCAGGTAGGTGCCATGGGAAGTAGCCAGGATGTTGGAGGGGGGTGCAGAGCCAGCAGCTTCTGGGAAAGAGAGGGAGGCAGGTCACGGCTAAGAGGAACGGATGATGTCACAGAATCAAGTGGGTCATCTTCCAGTGATGATATACTTACCGAAGGGACAGGTGAATGATTAGGTGGCGAGAAGTGCAGGATCGCGTAGGTTCTTTGGAGAATAGGTTTCAAGGAGGGTAGCACAGGACATTGGTGACTGAGTGGAACAGAGTGAATGGCATTGGAGGCCTTGGACATGAGGCTGGAAGGTAGAAAGGCTGTGAGGAGAGATGGGGCAGTCTCTTCCTCTGAGGAGGTGAAGCCTCAGGACCAAGTCAAGGTGTGTGTGTGTGTGTGGTGCGGAAGACCCCCACACACACACCATACTTGGATCAGGACTAGCTTGGACCTGTGCACCTGCCTGGAAGCCCTCCGTGCCTAGGGTGCTGGGCCTCATTGGGGAGAGCCATGGAGCAGGAGGCAGGCATGATCTCTAGCAGCCTCTGTTGGGTGTCCTGTTGTCCCTTGTCCTGGTTGCTGTACCCTGGTCTGTGTGGGCTGGCTGGGATGGGATGGGATTTGAGGTTCAGTGGGCCGCTCCTGCTCATGGTGTCCTGTTGTCCCTGCCCTTTCCCCCAGTCGCTGAAGAGAAAGGAGAAGGAGTATGAGCATGAGATGGAGCGGCTGGCACGGGAGAAGATTGCCACCCAGCAGCGGCTGGCAGAGCTCAAGCATGAGCTGAGCCAGTGGATGGACATGCTAGAGATTGACCGTGTGCTCCGGCAGACGGGCCAGCCTGAGGATGACCAGGCTTCCACCTCGACAGCCTCTGGTGAGCCCCAGCCCCGACACTCTCCCCACCACCCTCAGATATCCCTACTGCAGATTTTGTCCCTTGATCTTTGTCCCTTGTCCAGGTTTTTGCCTGCTAGAAAATATACCCCTTGCCCCGGCCCCATTATATCCCCAAGCCCCCACAGGCATCTGTGCCTCTAACCACCTGTTTCCCAAGCCCTTCTGACCTGCTCCCTGGCCCATGTTCCCTGCAGAAGGTGAGGACAACATAGACGAGGATATGGAGGAGGACCGGGCGGGCCTGGGCCCACCTAAGCTGAGCCATCGTCCCCAGCCGGAGCTGCTGAAGTCTGCCCTGCCTCCCCCCAGCACCGCCCCAACGCCTCTGCCTCCCCACCCGCACCCTCACCCAGTGGCACTGTCTCCTGCCCATCTGCCTGTGCAGCAGCAGCCGCCACAGCAGAAGACCCCTCTGCCAGCTCCTCCCCCACCAACCACCCCTGCCCAGACACTGGTACCAGCTCCTGCTCATCTGGTGGCCACAGCTGGGGGTGGCTCCACGGTCATTGCCCACACGGCTACCACCCATGCTTCAGTCATCCAGACTGTGAACCATGTCCTACAGGGGCCAGGTGGCAAGCACATCGCCCACATTGCCCCCTCGGCCCCCAGCCCTGCTGTGCAGCTGGCACCTGCCACACCGCCCATTGGCCACATCACAGTGCACCCTGCTGCCCTCAACCATGTGGCCCACCTCAGCTCCCAGCTGCCCTTGTACCCACAGCCTGTGGCAGTGAGCCAGCCCGTGGCGGTGAGCCACATTGCCCACACACTCTCACACCAGCAAGTGAACGGCACAGCTGGGCTGGGGCCCCCAGCCACCGTTATGGCGAAGCCAGCTGTGGGGGCCCAGGTGGTGCACCACCCCCAGCTGGTGGGCCAGACAGTGCTCAACCCTGTGACAATGGTCACTATGCCTTCCTTCCCGGTCAGCACGCTCAAGCTGGCTTGAGGATGAGGCCACTCAGAGGCCCCCAGTGGGGGCAGGGAGGGGGACCTTTCCCCCACTCTCCCACCCACCAGCTCCACACATTCCAGCCAGGCCCATGCCCGCCCGACCCATGCCACCCCCAGGCCTCCTAGGGGAAAGGGGTGCAAAGACTCTGAGCCAGGGGAGGGAGGGGCCCCCCAGGGAGTTGGGGGCAGGGCAGGGGGTTACTCTGCTGTACCAGGACTTGATAAAATAACTGATGAAGATGCTCATGGACATGCCACCTGTCTGGCCTGGTGCCAACTCCATTGCTGCTCCTGCCTCCCTATCCTGTACCCTGAAATCAGTGCAAAGTGGCGTCATGTTCCCTGGCTTCTCCTTGCCCTGCCTGCCTTCCTGTGCTGCTGCTGCTGCTGCTGCTGCTATTGCTGTGTCTGGTGAGGTGACTGAGTGCCCAGGCCTTCCCTCTCCAGCATCAGTGTTCTCCCAGGCCTTTAGATGAGGGGCAGGGAAACAACAGAAGCCACTTGGCCCAGAAGGCTGGGTGGAGATGGGGTTGATGAGGGGTCCTGCTCTGAGTACTAGTGACAGATCCCAGGAGGCAGGTGTCCAGGTGTGGGACCCTCTGATCCACCTGCAGTCACTGTGATTTGTTACAGTAGAAACTACTTAAAACAATTCCCTGCCAACAATAACCCCCACGCTGTTGCCATGCTTCTCAACCCCTGCTGCTGGGCTCTTGGCCTGAGGGCAGGCTGAGGTTAGGCTTGGGTGTCATGCTTCCCAACTCTCCCTGCTGCCTGGGTCTGACTTGGGAGGAGCACTACTCTAGACCCCTGTCCCAGTCCTTGGGCTTGGCTTTTCACCTTTAGAAGGCAGTGAAGAGGTGCTGTCTGGTGTTCACTCTCGTGGTTCCCCAATTTGCTCGGGGTGGGACATTTCTCCAAGGAATAAGGGGGTGTGGGCACCTCTCCTCTAGCCTGAGAGGCGTGGCAGCAGCTGATCATGGTCCCAGGAACTGAGAAGCCACATTGTTGAGACATCAGGAAGTTAAAATGCAGGTGTTTGGCCAAAGCCCTGAGCCCCTCCCCAAACAGGCCCTGGAGCCCTATAGAGGATCCAGCTGGGCCAAAGCTGGGAGTCATCAAGACGAGTGGCTGCTGCTCTGCCTGTGTCACCTTTCCCAGATCCCTGTTTCTGCAGTGGGCAGGTTTGAAGGTCCCTCCCTTGTGTGAGGAAAGGGCTTTAACTGGATCAAGGACAGGGCTGAGCTTGGGGTAGGAAGTGAGGGGCCCTGTCTTGGGGATGCTGTGGTCCTTGCCTCTGCAGACTGCTTTGGCTTTTTATGTGGATATTTATTACAAGTGGCCTTGTGTCAGACACACTCAGTTACACGCACGCATGCACATTCAGCTCCCCACTGGACACCCACCAATGGCCTTTCAGTGTAGGGGGAGGAAGCCAGTGTTCCTAGATACGGAGTTTGCACTTTTGGGGGACAGGCAAGGGGACCAGGAGGGGAGAACTCAGGATCCTCTGGAGTGCCCTGCTGGCGGGCACTAAGGAGGCCAGCAAAGGTCTTGAATACATTCTCTTGAAATGACCCCTTAGAGGCCTAAGAACTCCCAGTTCCTTCCTGCTCCTGGAGACTTCCCAGGGGATGTCTATCTCCCTGAGATGGGGAAAGGGCAACCTAAGATTAGGTCTCCACCCTGCTGCCCCAGCCCAGCAACCTCATTCCCCCAAGCTGGCTGCCTTCCTGCAGCTGCAGCCACCTCCACTGACACCTTGGCTTTGGGGGCCGGCTTCAGTGTCCTTGTGACAATGGAAAGCAGTCTGGTGCCGGCAGTCAGAGCACTTTGGGGAACCCCCGTCCCCCTTCACCTCTCCCTGCATCCTAAGGCCAGTTGCAGAGTTCAAACCACCGTGTTGGCCAGTTGCCCTCGGGCCACACAGATACCTCATCATCCACCTAGTTCCCCCCATACCCCTGCCCCCAAGTGGGGGCTTCCAAATCTAGTGCCGAATGACTATGTCCAGATTGGTGATGATGGGTGTTGTTGCTGTTGTTTTTGTTGTTTGTGAACGCTGTGATGCTGTGTGCCCAAGTGGGCAGCCACCTCCTAGCCCTTCCTTGGGCATCTCCCCTCTGAGAGCTGTTAGGACCATATCTGTCCTCACCCAGTGGGACCGCCTGGCCCTTCCCTCCCTAGCCCTTCCAGCCTGGGACAGAAACACACACACACACACACACACACACACACACACCACTTTACCTCTCATGCTTGTACTTAACCTTTGGTGTTCAGATTGGCTCACTGGCTGGGAGTCTTTACCTCGGGGAGAGGGGGAGGGTGGTTCCTTGGGGGGCCAAAGAAGGGCAGGGAATTCCTGGAGTGTAGTTGGGTCACCAGAACCCCTGCTCTCTGGAAACAGCTGCTTCTCCCCCCATCCCAGGGTCCCATCCCCAACCCCAAAGAGGTGGCCCTTGTTTACAGTGAGGACTCGGTCACTGTGTCTCCGTTTCCTGAAATATAAACTGTAGCGACCCCAGACTGTAGAGATTTTTATGTGTTTGGATACATCTGCTGTGTGGGAAAAAAAAAAAAACTACAAAAACCCTAATTTTGTACATATTGTATTTTTACTATTGAACTGTATTCTAGTGGCTGTTCATGCTCCAAGACTTTAGGTATTGAGACATGAACACTATCCATGTAATAAGCACTTGCCTGGAATAAAATATAAAGCTGAAATAAACCTGCACTGAAATCTGAAATGGAGCTGCAAGCCTGCAGCATTTGAGTCATTTTATTGCAAAAGGAGGCAGTGACCTGAAGGGAAACCCATCCAGTCAGAAGTAGCAAGGGACAGCCTGTCCTTAGACCACAGGCAGAAAGTTTTAGAAAAAGACTTCAGAAAAAAGACTGCCTTTTTCTGAATCTATGGCTCAAATTCTGAGACTTGAGTTCTGGTCTTACGTGTTTGCAAAGCTTTATACTTCCTCAGTTTCTACAAATATTATCTTGTTTCATCTTTTCACAGCCCAGTGGAGTAAATAAGCCGAGAGCTAGCCCATTTTGGCCGATAAGGAAGCAGGTTTCAGGTGGCCCAGTGACTTGTTAAGTCACATGGTTGTGTGGGACCTGGTGAGTACTAGTCAGATCTCACTTTGGTGCAGAATTTGTCCCCTAGCATTTGGCACCCTTGGGTGCTGCCAGACCCAGTGGGAAGGCAGGATCTGGGCACAGAAGTTGAGAAGCCACTTTGGGGATTGTAGTCATAGCAAGGAGGGAAGTTGGATGATAGTGGTGGGGTGTTTGTCCACAAAGCTATCCTGTCTTTTTTTTTTAATTTTTAAAAATTTTTTTATTTTTTATTTATTTATTTTTCCTGTCTTCTTTTGAGACAGGATCTTGCTCTGTAATTCAGGGTCGCTTTGAACTATGTGGCCCAAGCTGGTCTCAAACTTGTGGCCATCTTCCTGCCTCAGCCTTCCTAGTGCATGTGTCACCACACACAGCTCCACAAAGCTGTCCTTTCAAGGAAGGGGAATACAGTGGAGGTCAGAGGCCAGGGAGCCATGTTCCCAGCTGGGCCTGGAAGGCCACTGTCCCCATAGTTGCATTCTGTCTCCCTAGTCTAGCCCTTTGGTAGGCTGGGTGGGGGATGGGGAGCAGAATCAGGGAGCAGTTAGCTGAGCCTGGTTGTAGATAAGTCTGGCTTCTCCCTGACCTCAGTTCCAGCAAGGAGAGCTGACTGCCTCTCTTCCTGGGGTGGGCATCGCAGGTTTCCCTCAAAAGAAGGTAGTGGGGCTACAAATGTCCTGGAGTCTTAGTCTCTAAAGTAGGGCCAGGTTTTTTGTTTTGGGGGGTTTTTTTAGGGCCAGGTTTAATAAGGATCAGTCACAGACCCCTCTCAGGGCCCCACCATCGCACTGGCCTTTTTCATTTGTGAGATGCAGGCTCCCTCTTCTGGAAGCTCTAGGAAGAGCTGGGTAACATGCACTGGTCCATTAGTGACAAGGGGAAGGTCTGGGTTAGAACAAACACTTCTTGGGCTGGGGATTTCTTTTTTTTTGGTACCGGGGATCGAACTCAGGTCCTTGCGCTTGCGCAGCAGGCAGCGAAACCACTGAGCTAAATCCCCAGCCCTTGGGCCGGGGATTTAGCTCAGTGGTTCTGCTGCCCAGAGTTTGATCCCGGTACCAAAAAAACTCAAACCAACCAACCTTTCTTGACTGCCCACTCAGAGCCAGTACTGTTCCCAGCACTGGAGACATGAATGAAGACCCTGCCCTGACAGCGAGGACCCAGCATTATTTGAGAACTGTGGCTACAGCTTCAGGGCAGGTGCAACCCCTTCCCTGTACTCAAAGGACACCAACCAGTGCAGTTGGAGCCTGCAGGCGAGGGGCCTGTGGTCAGGGTTATGGAAAATAAAAATCCCAAGTCTGAATCCAGTTATTTTATCACCCCTGATCTGTCAGAGAACTCACTTTCTGGGGTGTGTCCCCATCAAGATGGTGCTTCTAGAGCCCATCGTGCTTCCTATTCCTTGCTACCCATAAGACCACCCCCTGCCTCTGCCTCACCATCATCTTGGCTGTGGGATTCCCTGTGGTGCTGGATGCCCAGCTTCCAGTCTAGGCAGAGTAGGGAAAAGGAGACGTGTGTGAAGGAGCCCATTCCTATGTTAGTTTATCCAGGCCTTTGATAAATTTCCAGGTGCTCTCAGCAAAAGGAATTCTGATTCCTCTGGACCACAGAACTAGCTGAGAGATGGGGAGTGTTCCTGAGGGGCTTATTGAATCTGCTGGCCCCAGAGCTCCTTGAGTCAACTGGTTTCTTTGCCAACAATCTGTGTTTTATCCTGATAGCCCAGGGGAGCCTGCTCGGGCCATAGGCTGGGATTTTCAGTTTGGAGTTGCCAGCAGGCCCTAATGCCCAGAAAACAAATGTTCTGTAGAGCTAGGAAACGTTATGTGGGGCCAGGGATTTAGCTCAATGGTGCCAGTGCCTGCCTCACAAGTGCAAGGTCCCGAGTTTGATCCTCAGTACCAAAACAAAACAAAACAAAAAACCCCATGTGACTGGAGCTGTCTACCTGGAGCCACTGATGATGTGACCATTGGCAGTGGGGTGAGGGGAGGGCGGAAGAGGAAGGGACCCATTCTAGCTGGGTCCTTTCCCCTATTATAAGACATTGTGCTGCCTCCTGACACCCCTAGAGACCAAACTGACCCAAGCATTTCAAAGACTGCTTAGTGAGTGGGAGCCACAACCAGAAGGGAGGGTGTGCCTGGTGGATGGACCCAGGGCTGGGAGGTTCCTGTGTTCCTAGTCAAGGCCAACTCTTCACTGCAGTAGGTCGGGAGGGCAGGCAAGTGGGGGCCAGGGGTAGGGTGGGAACCTAATCTCATCCACAGGCTGGAGAGGTCATTGGTCAATCTGCAAAGAAGCATGGCTCTGAGGTGAGCCCCGCCCAGCCCCACCCCAGCATTGAGTACCTGAGGTCTGGCTGTCACCTAGACTCCCTGACCCCGACACTGAGTCTAGCCTGGAGACCCGAGGCTCCCTCTCCTGGAAACTCCGCTTGTTTGCCATCACTGCCTTTGGAGTTGATCCCCTTGTGTCTGGTTGTGGAGTGAATTCCCCAATCCACAGTGACTTAACGTCCAGTGTCAGTGCCACAAGCACACCTCAGAGTCTCAAGCATTGCCAAATGCTGTTTATTGTTACACTAAAGAGTATAGTTTCTGAGGCAAAAAACTTACACTCTGCTCCTCACAAAACCAGAGTCACTAAGGCAGGCACACAACGACCACCTATGCTTGGAGGCCAAGGACTCATGGACGATAGGGGTGGGGTGGCCCCCAAAGAGGCCATGCAGTGCCTGGGCAGGAGTGGGCTGGGAAGCATGTGCTGGATGCAGAAGGGGTACGGTGCCCTTGCTCATATTTCTCAAAGGCAGGAAGTCTGCATACTTGGTGACTGCTGGGCAAGTCACAAGCCCAGGTGTGGCTTCCAGGCCCTAGGGGAGTAGCCTAGAATGTGCTGGGGTGTAGAGGGACAGGGGATGACAGCAAGCAGCATGCCTAGGCTTCAGGTCAGGAGTTGGAGCTGTCCTGGCATCCCTGCAAGTGTGGCTCCTCCCAGGGGATTCTGGGTCCCTAGGCCTCTCAGCATCGCAAGAGGCACATGGAAGGCAAGGCGGGCCTTGCTTCTCACCAGGAACAAATTGGGGAGATGCAGGCATCCTCCAACTCCCTTTGCCCCCAGGGACTTAGCAGATGCCTGGGACAGGCAACAGGCTGCCCTAAAGCTCAGAGGGCTGTCCCTGAGACAAGGATGTGACAGGATTGCCTCCCTGCAGAATCATCCCGGGTTCCTAAGGGGAGCAAGCTCTCCCACTGCATTTCAAATCACCCAACTGGCAAAAGTGTCATTCACACAGTTTCTGGGAAGCATCTAATGCATAAAGCAAGGGCAGGGTGGTGAGAGTGACACTGTACCAACACATGTGTATTGTGCAATGGGGCAAGCACATGGCATCATCTCAGGTGGCCAGAGGCAGTGTCAGTGATGCTGAGGTGGGCTGCTCCCACCCAGAGCCTACATCTGACTGGCCCTGAATCTCAGGAGAGGGGCTGGAGGGTGACCCAGGTCCCCTGCCCCCAGGATCCATGCCCAAATGGACAGCTGCTGTAGCTGTCCTCACTGGGGCTGCAAAGGGGTTCTCAGGACAGATACAGAATAGAGCCTCTTGCCTGATCCCACTCTCACTAGGTGGGGCCCAGGCCACTGTAGCCCCTGCTAGCCTTACAGGCCCCAGGCTGGCTCGAGAAGCATTAGGGAACAGTCTGGGCTGAGGATGCAAGTGGCAGTAGGGCTGCTCCTGGATGTTTGACAGGGGAACAGAGTAGGTATCCCTCAAGGCAGCTGCTCCCTAAGGCTGACCCCTCCCATCACGGCCCTGATCTGAGGGCATCCTGGCCCCTGACATGCCCCACAGGGCCAACACTGCCCGGAGTCAGATCCCAGGCTCACACTCACTTTGTTAGGAACACAACTGGACAGGCAGGGTCATCTGGGGGTGGGGCAGTCTGGGCTGCCCTGCTAGAGCCCAGGGGCCTGGTGCCCAGGCTTTCTCTCCGTGCTGCTGCTCCCAGCCACAGTGCTCACTTGTTCTCTATGAGCATCTGCACCTTGTGGACCAGGTCCCGGGCAATCCGCAGGATCTCCTGGGCATCATGATGCTCAGCCCGCTCTGGAGGAAACAGGGATAATTTCGAGAAGGCCCAGAGAGAGGGCAATAGGCTAGGGAGGGGCCCTGTGGCTGACCACTCTGTTTTGTTTCCACCTGCTGGGATCTTGATATCTTGCCTAAAGGAAGGGACCTGGGTATTCCTGAGAACCCTCCAATTCTGCCCAGGCCAGGAGTGAAGGCCCCCATGCCTCTGCTGGGGCAGCCAGGATGGGTGGACCAGCTCATACCATTGAAGAACTTGATGATATCAGTGAAGTCCATGTTGTTGTCTCGGATAATCTCTCGGTAGGCCTCCACCAGGGCCAGGGCAATGAACAGGACAAAGTGCTCCGATGAGATACACCTGGCTGCCCAGATCACCTCCCACACAGCAAATACATCCTCATACAGCAGCTCTGGGGAGAGTAAGGGGCTGATGCTAAGGCTGAGCCTGGCAGCCCTCACTGCCCACAGGTCTCTGGAGAGAGCCAGGTGGGAGACAGAGCTCCAGCAGCCAAGTTGTAGGACTCTCCCAACTACATATAACCTAGTTCAAGAATGGGTGTTCTAGATGGGCATGGTGGTGCACACCTGTAATCCCAGCACTTGGGAGGCTGAGGCAGAGGCCTTTCTCTCTGGTCATTTCTGCCCATTTCTTTTCAGTTCCTGCAGACTCTATATAAGCACTGCGCTTCCCCAGAGCAACTCTACTTTTGGTGCTTGGGAAAATTTGGTTTTAAATGAGTTTCCCCAACCATCACCTATTAGGGTGGTGGCTGTGAACTCTGGCTGCACTGCAGAATCACTTCACGTCCTTTTAAGAACACGCATCATGCCACAGGTGCAGTTCAGTGGTAGAGCAACTGCTTAGCATCCACAGTGCCCTGTGCTTCATCCCTGGTACCATAACAGGGAAAAACAAAAAAAGGAGGCAGGCATGATGATACGTGCTTGTAAACCAGCACTCTGGAAGGCTGAGGTAGGAGCACACCATCTTAGGCAATTTAGCAATTTGGTGAAATCCTGTCTCAAAATAAAAATGGACTGGAGATGTAGCTTAGTGTAAAGACCTTGGGTTCAACCCCTAGAACCCTAAACAAAACAAAATCAGACAAAACAAAACATCCCCCAAATTAAAAAAATATAAAAAGAACACATATGCCCAGGCAGCCCCAGTTAGTATGTGTGGGGCTGGGTAGGGAAAGGGCACTGGCAGTTTTTCGAAGCTCCCAGTGCATTGTAAGGTACAGTGAAGAGGAAGAGGGATCTCCCACTGTCCCTAACCCAGCCCTACGACCTAACACACTTCTTACCTCTCTTAAAATCCAGCAGGAACCAGCGGTAACAGAAATAGAAGTGGGTGTAGTCTCCATTCTGATGCATCAGCTCAAACAGCTCTGAGTCCAGGATCTCATGGGGGAAGAGGGAGAGACCAACCTGATGCTGCCTCTCTGCCACCTTCACCCACCACACCCAGTGAAGCTGTGCTGCCCTCTGCTCCTCAGGTCTTACTGGATGGGGGTTGCACTCTATTGCCACATCTGTCTCACTGGGTTATATTTTTTGTTTTGTTTTTTTTTGGTACCAAGGATCGAACTCAGGACCTCGTGCTTGTGTGGCAGGCGGCAGAACCACTGAGCTAAATCCCTGCCCTTCTTTTTGTTTTTTTGGTACTGGGGATCGAACTTGGGACCTTATGCTTGTGTGGCAGGCGGCAGAACCACTGAGCTAAATCCCCGGCCTGGTTGTATTCTTTTTGGAGTTGTACAAGTTTCTGGGTGTTTTATCACCAGACTCACAAGCACACTCATACTACTCCTTGATTTGTAATATGGATAACAATGGCTTTTAAAATGAAAGAAATTAAGCTGCTATATACAGGACATTTCTGTAACACTTCCTGGCCTCCATGTGGCTGATGGGCAAGCCCAGCTGCTGCAGACCTCACCTGGATGAGGGACCGCATGTTGGCAAAGTGGGTGTCCATGGCGCCCCCATTGGGGAAGTTCTGGCTCATCCTTTTCATGAGGTGGCTAAAGCAGCTGTAGGCCAGCTGATCTATAGGGAGACAGGAGTGAGGCTAGCTTACACTCCCACACTCCTAGACTTAGCCATCTTCTTTTTCCAGTCTGTCACCTCAACCCAACTTCATTTTGGGGACCTCCATTCTCCATCCCTCACCATTGTCAAGGATGACCAAGAGAGGTGCCAGCAGATCACACATGCCTTGCACGTAGCCCATGTCCAAGTGCTCCCACACGTAGCTGAAACGCCAGGGACAGTCACTGAGGCTGTGCACCATCCTTTCCTCCCTGGAGAGATGGCCCCTAGAGCAGCCTGGTATGTACAAGTCGGCCTTTCCAGGGGACTGAAACATTTACTATGCATCCCACACTGAAAGACAGTGGGTTATTACCATGGCCCTTGCCCCCAACGTACTCATGGCCCCAGGGAGAGACAAGAGGCCATCACAACTTGGTATGAGGGGTAGGGGAGTAAAAACAGCTAAGGCTTCCTGAAGAAGTGTGGCCGAAGCAGGAATCCAAGACTTCTGGGAATGCGGTGGGGTGGGGTGGGGTGGGGTAAAGGGTACTGCAGGGAAGGTCTTCCCGACAGGTGTCATGTGTGATTCCATGAACAGCAGGGTATCTGCTGGATAGACTCCTTCACAGAGCAACTGGGCATGTCCCTGCCTCCCATCCTGAGCCCCTTCACAAAGGCTGGCACCTGCACATGATGTCTCTGAGCCTCTCAAGATTGGGCAGTGAGAAGTACCAGTAGTTTCGGTCACATCTTTGCACATCCTTGTCTATGCGGTGCAGATTTAAGGCCACGGTGTCCAGTAATTCTATCTGGAAGAGTGGACAGCCCTTAGCAGTGAGGCTGACCAGCCCCTTCCCGGATGGGGACAGGATGTAGTATCCAAGTGAAGAAATGTAGCCAAAGAGGGAACCCAGGGAACCTACAGTGCTCTGGGGATGCTGAGAGATGGAGACAGCACTACCCTGGAGCCTGTCCCCAAGTGTTAGCATGTCAGGAGGGCCTCTGGAAAGAGTGGTTGGGGAACATCCACGTACAGTGTAGGATGCAGCACACACAGCTGCCAGCTCCCCGCCTGCTTCTAGCTCGCTGGCTTGTGAAGCCTTCTCCTGGCTGGGATCCCGGGGCTCAGAAAAACTGTGGGCTGCAGAGGTCAGCCCGCCAGAGCCTTCCTCTCCACCGCCATCCTCCTCAAAGCCCACACTCTGGCCCTCATCTAGGCTGGACTGGATGCCTGAGGCCACAGAGTAATTTCGGGAGGATGGCAGCCCTGAGTCTGGAGAGTCAAACTCCACTGACTGCTGCTGCTCCACCATGGCATTGTCTGGAGTCCCAACTCCTGGTTCTTGCTCAGGCTTTGGTCTGGCATCTTCAGAGGCCTGGGGCCCTGGGGTCTCCAGATCATCCACAGAGATAAACACCTGGTGGGAGTGAACAGATGGTGGCTCTTAGCTGCACTTCAGGACCTTCCTGTGGCCACTGGCCCCTCCCTGGCTTGGAATGGAGCTGGGATGGAAAATTCTCTTCACACCCCTGTTGCTATCCACAGCAGCCAACACAAGCTGCCAAGCTGGCATCAGACCCAACTAAACAGGTGGAATAAAGCTTTGGGTAAGGGAGAAACATCTCAGCCCTATCCAGTCCCTGGGTCATGTGAAGCACTCCAGGGCTTCCTGTGGCTGCTGTATGGAAAAAAGAGCCAAAACTTTGACACCCCATGGCCTGTTTGAGCTAAGCACTACTTAACAAAGCCTTAGGTAATGAACCCAAGAGAGCTGCTTTAGTGTCTTGATGTGGCTGCTGGGGCATTGTTGGGGGTAGGGGGTTTTAGGAAGAGCAAATTCTTTCCTATTTTTGGCACTGAATGTTAAGCAGGACAAGAGGGGAAACTTGTGTAGCAAAAGTACATAGTTCTGTTAGCCTTCAGACAAGCTGCAGAGAGGTTAGAAGTAAAAGGAAACATTCTACTGATTGGAAGAAGTACACCCCCATGGACAAGTCATGGGGGAAAATAAGACACACATTTAGATTTTTTTTTCTAACTGGTCTATGTAGGGAAAAGGATGCTCAAAGTAGTTTTCAGTCTGGGCAAGAAACCCAAAGTGTTGGGTAAGCATGTAATTCTGAAACAATCAAGAGCCTCAGAATGCTGGATTCTGGGAAAGGCTGAGGCAGAAGGATTACAAGTTTGAGCCCATCATGAGCAACTGAGCAACTCAATGAGACCCTTTCTCAAAAGGGGGGGGGGGACTTTAGATGTAGCTCAGTATAAAGGTCCTGAGTTCAATCCCTAGGATTCTAAAAAAAAAAAGAGGGTGTGTGTGTGTGCTGTATTCAAGGCAGGGGTGATACCAGGGGTGATACTGCCCCCTGAAGCTTGGAACTAGTTCTGGAATCACTTCTCCAAGGAGACAGAAACGTCACAGGGGAGGATCTTGCCAGTGCACACCAGCATGACTGCTCTAAATGCGCCCATCCTCTGGACAAGAACTCTCTATCTGGCCTCTGAATTCAGAGACATGAGAGCAGATAAGAGAACCCAGGCAGAGATGGGAAGTTCTTGCCCAGAGATACTCTTTTCATCAGTAGTGGATCCAGGATTGAACCCAGGGTAGCCTGTTGCTAGCCTTGAGTTTTTTTTTTGTGTGTGGTACCAGGGATCGAACTTGGGACCTTGCGGTTTTGAGGCAGGCGCCAGAACCACTGAGCTAAATCCCCGGCCCAGCCTTGAGTTTTTAAGGGAGGTAGGGCTTCCCTAAATCCCAATATACCCATCTTTCCCTGCTCGTCTGTTGAAACAGAACACAGAGAACCATCAGAACTATCTCATCTGGTCCGTATGGCACCCAGAGAGAGAAGTAAGTAGGCAGCAGGGCAGCACTTTTCCATTTTGCAGTTGAGGAAAATGAGACAGAAACATTAAGCCTTCCTCCCAGGGCTCCAATGTCAGTTAGTATAAGAGGCTGGGTTGATGCTCAGGGCTCCTATGTGTCAAAGGCTCCTGGGCCCCATCCAGGTCTCCCACCCTTCCGGCCAGCTGGCTCACATCATTGCTGATGGTGGAATCTCGGTGAATGAGGTGCTGGACGTGGCTGTCAATGCTGCTGCCCGAGGAGAACTTGGTGAACGTGGATGGGTGAGCCTCCTGCTCCCGCTGCCTCACCACCACCTCACAGGCCTTCCACTCTGCCAACACCTGCTGGTACCTTGTTGCCACCGCTGCATCCACCTGTGCTCAGACCACACCATGACCATGGGGGGAGGGTACAGCAGGGTCTCCTCCTCAGGGGCTGGGACAGCTGGAGACTAGAGTGGGGCCTCAGGTGAGGACCACGGGGATTCTGCTACCACCTTTCTCTGCCACATTTCTTTCCGGCTAGAAAGGGGCTGAGGCTTCTGAGGCCCCCTCCTTGAAGTCCCTCGGTCCCGTTCCCCATCTCCCTAGTCCTAAGGTAATAGGCTCCCCTTACCTGCTCCATTTCCTTCTTATTCATGCCAAACTTGTAGTGGCCAAGCAGAAAGGGCCAGACGTTCTTGCGGATCTCATGCTCCACACCTCCATAGTAAACCTGCCTCAGCAGCTCCAACTCCTTGTAGTTCTGAAGGGCCCAGGGGGAAAGACTGTGCAGGCCCCACGGTCACTGTGGCCCAGACAGGTGAGCCCATGCCATGGCAAACCCTGTTTAGGTGAGGCTGTGTCCTCCTGTGCCCCAGGGTACCCCTGCCTTGCTTATGGAGCAGAAAATAGAGCCCAGAAAGGGGCAAAGATCTGCTCAAGGTCACAGTGCAATGCAGAGGCAGAATGAATTCCCAGCATGGTCCCTTCACATGTACACCTACAGACCTTTGGTCAGATGAAATTCTATTGTTATGTGGGTCACTCCATGGCCATCAATCCTGGCCTGTCAACCCCACCTCTACTGTATTTTACCTCAAATGCCCACTTAGGCTGCAGAAGTTTCTCCCATAGCACACAGCTGTGTACAACTCCTGCCCACCCCAGCCCTTGACTTAGCCTCTCGTTCTGAACCACAGAGTTGCACCTTTTTGTCCTTCTGATACTTGCTCCACACATCCTTGGTGAGGCCTCCTGAAGCCCCCGGGGGCCGGTCAGGTGGAATAATGTTGTGATGCACCAACGCTGATAGGTGGGTCCGCACTGTGGACAGGTGGCGGCAGTAGGCCAGCCCTGTGGTGTGCAGCCAGGAGGCCGTGACTGAGGTGCTCCCCACGCCCAGCCCCTCGCAGCCCCACCTCACCACACACTCACAACCATAGAAGGCCCGGGACACAATCTGCCTCTTCATGCTTTCACACAGCAGCCTGAGGGGCAACCTGTGGAAACAAGCTGGCTCAGAGGGCCAGGGTTATGGCTGCTGTGGGGAGGAAGATGAGGATATTTTGGCATGGGAGACAGGTAAGGCACTTGGGATAGTGTGGGGAGAAGGATCTACAGTCTAGCAGCATATCAGCAGGCTCCCCATCCTTACAAAGCACCCTCAATATTGCTGTCCCCTGGCCCCAACTACACAGGGACATTGGGCAACTAACTTTGCTTTAGTGAATCTTGGCTCCTCATGTGAAGATGGAGAACACTTCTGCAGGGTAACCAGGAATAACAGGTTAAAAAACAAAGTGACAAGGCTGGGGATTTAGCTCAGTGGTTTCACCGCCTGCTGCGCAAGCGCAAGGACCCAAGTTCAATCCCCAGTACCAAAACAAAACAAAACCAAGTGACAGGTGAAGAACACCTGGCAAACAGCACCATACAAAGGCTGTTCATGTTGCCCTTGCACATGGCAGGTGCCCTGATATGTGCTGAGTGAACTCAAAGATGCAGCCTAACAGCAGGATCTATTTCTACACTGGAAAGGAATGTTCACTATGTGCAGGCACAAGCCTAGGCATTCACGTAGTTCTCACAAGTGCCTTTAGAAAGCTGGTGCTATTATTCCCATTTTACAGGTAAGGGAGCTGAGGTTCAGAAATAGGCTCCTAGAGACTAAGCAACTTGCCAAAGTCACATGGGTAACACAAGTGAAATATGAACCCAACTCTGCCCAACTCCAGATGCCACCCTGTCATGCAACTGGCACAGTTTATAAGGACAGAGGGACAAACAAATAGATGGACATGAGAATGGGAAACTGGTATTCCGGGCCCCGTCCACTCACCGGTCCGGGATGCAGCTGCAATGGCTGGGGGTTGCATAGGGGGAGCTGCGGGAGGAGCAGGAGAGGCAGGAGGAACCCTGGCTGCACAGGGGCTCCAGGTGCCAGGCTGCCAGGCCAGGCCCAAAACCCTGCATCTCGATCATGTCACCAGCATCTGAGGGCAGGAAGGGGCTACGGTCAACACCTGGTGGGCCTCCTCCCTTGAGCACCCTGCAGCATGCCCACCTCTGTGCCCAGAGCTGCAGCATGAAATCACACATTGGTGGAAAACCACAAGGGTGGTGCCTGCCTGGGCCAGAGCCCAGATGGAAATATTTCCCAGCCTCTACCAAGCCTCGAGAGGGCTGTCTTTTCTGTGTGTGATAACATATTTGGACTGAGTGATTGTGTCTACCTACCTCCATCTCACTACAGGAAACACCTGCTTTTCTAGAGTAAGGGGAGGAAGAGAAGGAACACCAAAAGCCCGAGTTCTTGAAACTGCTGCCATAAGTTACCCCAGCCCTTAAGGCTCAGCTTGGTTCTCTTGGGCAAACTCTGAGAAAGCTCATGAAGGTGCTTGGAATCCCCAAACTGTGACATTGCCCCCGTTCCCCTCAGGAAGAGTCTCTACTGATCAAAGCCCCCAAGAGATCCCTGAGCCACTTGGCTCACAGAGCTTGGTCTTCTGAAGGGTTCTAGATTTGGTGGCCAGTGGTTATGTAGGAACAGTGCTCCCTGCCAAGGCCAGACACCTGTAGTCTAGTGTGACTGCACTTGGCATGGTAGTTTCTCACAGGTGAGCTGCAAGGAGGGTCAAATTCCCTGGGCTGCCAGGGACTATGGGGATGGTGACTGGGCACACAGGCCCACCATCCAACATGGCAGTCATAGACGAACATGCAGCTGCAAAAGATGGACAGTCTACGTCACTGCAGATAGAGCCTTCACCACCAGCCTCGCTGGTATGGGTCAGAACTCAAGCCCCTTTAGAGTTTCCACGGCCAAAGTGAGATAGCACACTCCTCGGGGGGATGCTGGTAGGTCAAGGGAGCCAGAGAGACGAAGCACAGTGACTGCAGGAAGTGAATGATGCGACTTGGGATGATGCCTGCAGGACTAGGGATGACGCCACGAGGGAGAGGGAGAGAGCAGAGAAGAGTGAAGAAGAATGATAGAGCATGTGTGCTAAAGACACTTCTTTCAGCACTGGCTTTCTTGGTGAATCTAATGTAGCCCTGACTCAGCCTGAATCCTGGTCTACCTGGTCTGGAGCAGGCCTAGGCCTACTTTGTTCTAGAAGTCAGACTCAGGCTCTGAGGGTACCTTGGAGGGGAGAATGGAGTGGAGTCCCTTCCCCATTCCCTTAGGGACTGCCCTGTTTTGATCTCCCAGACCCACAGCTAGGATTTATCTGGCCATTCAGCTCCACCAGGAGGCAAATTAAGGGAACATACTTAGTAAGGAGGGCTTCGGCTCTGGGAGTGAGGGGCTGCCAGCCATGCCTGAGACTTTGGGAAGAGAGGGAGGGGACAATTGCAGGTGGGGTGGGACAGGAGACCAGCTCATGCCCCTGCAGCAGGCAGGAGAGGGGCCAGTCCTTGAAAGAGCTAGTGCAGGAGTTGACTCAGCCAGGCAGGCAGCAAGCAGCAGGCAGGCAGGAAGGGTGGCAGATGCAGAGGGCATAGGGGGAGGGAAACAAAGGGGAACAAGCTCATGCCAGAAAGCAGGGCCCAACCAAGCCTGGGTCAATGCTCTTCACCTTAATTCTCCAGGAAGGAGCTGAACCAGCCAGCATTGAACACTGCGTCTCTGAATTAACCCAGTGCGACAGCTGGAGCTCTGGAGTGACTGGGTGAGGGGCAGCAGGCTGGATGGGGGATGTGGGTACTGGGTCAGCTTTGACTCTGACTCTCTCCTCTGAGCATGAGGAAAGTGTAAAGGAAACAATTAGGGTGGGTGAACCCCACAGCCCCTAAGACTCTGAGTGAAAGGTGCCTGGCCTGGAGCAGAATTAGAGTGAACAGCATCTCTGCTCTCTGGGGGAGGCAGCCGGAAAAGGGGGGGTGGGGATCTGGACACCCGCCACTTGAGTGACATGCACAAGTCAAGCATGTTGCAGGCCTGAAAAGCAACAGCTAGCAGAATGGACTCAACAGTGTTGTCATTATGGACTGGAGTGGAGGTGAGGGCTCCCATCCCCATCCTTTCTCCTCAGTGACCTGCGGGTTCCATTGTTATGGCTCCTCTCCTTTTCTTTTTTTTTTTTTTTTGGTGCCGGGGATTGAACTCGGGTCCTTGAGCCTGCGCAGCAGGCGGCGAAACCACTGAGCTAAATCCCCGGCCCCTCCTCTCCTTTTCTAAGTATTGAGGTTCCACAGGCTGCACAGTAGGTTGGTCTACCCCAAGTTCCAAGAGGATGCCCAAATCAATCCTGAGGCCTCTGGTCTCTGCAGGCCTGGAAGTCTCTGCTTTCTGGGAGTCTCAGCCCTAAGACTAGTCAGGGATGGGCTTCCTATTGCCAAGTCTGCCAAGACAAGGGCTCTGTGGAGCCCTCTACTGTCTAGCCTGGCTGCCAGTTCATAGGGCCAAAAGGGGTTCCTTGGCCCCCCTCTCAGAATTCAACCATACTACTCAAAGTCAGTTAACCTATAAATAAGCAGCAGCCCGAAGTCCAAATTTGCAAAGAACCAGAGGACAGGCATGTGTACAGGCAATAAACATAAGAAGTAGTAAGTTCTTGCCTGGACCTGGCCTATAGACTTCTGTTGGAAGGGCTGGGAGGGAAAGAGGGCATGCCCAAGGAAGGCAAGTGGCAGGAAGCATGATGGCCAGCAAGGATGACTGAGGGGCTGCTGGGTGTGTTCCAACCGTGGGCTTAGCTGCTAGGAATGGAGAAGCTCCTAATTATTGGATTATTGGCTGGGCTAAAGAACTAAGCTCCTTGGCAGAATTTTGTAGAGGCATAAGGGGAGTGTCAAATTCTTAGGGTCCTCTATAGGGACAGGGAAAGGGGAAAAGCAATTTTCTACAGAAATGGGTAGGGATGGGAAAGTTCCCTAAACTCCATGGAGCTGGCCTGACTCTATCCTGACCCACCTTTCCTCAAGTGCCCCAATCTAGCCTCTCCAAAGAGTGGGGTTCGTTCTTCACCAATTCAGCTCTGTGCTAAGAAAGATGGAGGTGAGCACAGGAACAACAAGGGGCTGTGGGTACTGTGCTGTGTTATTTCCAATGACGAGATCTCTGTAATCATGGACTCGGGTCTGTGAGGGCAGAAACGTACCTGTCTGATACCTTTGAAACAGCATCTGGCATGGATAGGGAAACTGAGCTTTCGGATGATGAGATATTTGTTCAAAGTGAACAAGGAGCACATGTGAGACCGGAGTTCACATTGCTGTGCCCTGAGCCTGTGCCTCTTCCTGGACACTTGCTGTAGTTATTTCTAGATTTCCTACTAGAGTACCAGTCACATGTGCTGCTGAAGCTCTCTGGCCCTGGGGTCTCTCCAGTGGTGCCCCCAACCCCTCACTTGACCTCTCCAGTCCCTACGCCTGCCCCAGGAAGGGCCTGGTACCTCTGTCCTGTTTCTGTTAAACTGAGAGTCAGAAGCACAGGCTAAAGCTGGCCTTTCCAATCAGCAGGAGAAGAAAAAAAGAGATCACTGCCTGGCATTTGCCAGCACTGACCTCCAAGGGTAGAGAGGGGCTCAGAGAGCCCTTCAGGGCCTCAAGAGGCAGTCCATCGGCCGGGGATTTAGCTCAGTGGTTCCAGCACCTGCCGCACAAGCGGAAGGTCCCAAGTTTGATCCCCGGCAGCAAAAAAAAAAAAAAAAAGAGGCAGTCAGTCAGCCCATCTCCCTGTAACTCTTCTTCCCTCTCAGTGTGAAGCTTCCTCCTCATAGCCAGAGCCACTTACTCTGTACCGTCCCCTCTTCTTGCTAGCTCCCTGATCTGATTCCTGACAGAAGAAACCACCCAAGGAACGAGTCCCTTAATGCCAACACTGCTGTTTGAGCCTCTGTGGTGGGTGGCAGGTGGGCCCAGGGGGTTGGGGTGGAGGATGAGGTGGGTCATGGAAGGGGAAGGATAAAAACCTTTCATCGGATTGGGAGCTGTGAGGTTCCGCGAGCAGATCATTGAGAGCATCGCGTGTAGTTTATCCTCCTCTTCCTCATCATCGTCCACCGAGGCCGCGCGGCTGGCCGCTAGGTGGTGGTAGTTAATAGTGACTGCTCAAAGAGAATAGCGAGAGAGGCAGAGGCATGAGGACCCTAGTCCCTGAGCAGAAGGAACCAACTCCCTAAGGTGAGTGGCACAGAGGCTAGGATCACCTTGAACCAAGGCACAGAAGAGGGGAAGTGGGGATCTGAGAGCCTTTCTGATGATTACTTGGGAGAGTACAGGGCTGGGAGGCAGCTACAGAGCTCCACTCTTGGAGGAGTCTTCTCTAGGAAGAACAGAAGAACAAGAACTAAAGGGAAGGGCGTGAAAGACAAGAACTATTTGTAACAGGCTGGCAACTCAGGAGCTCAGCAAAAGCTGGCTGAGGCTGGGACACATGAATGGTGGCAGATAACTCCTGATCATTCTTCAGCTCCCACATGAACAGGTTGGAATGAATCTGAAGATTCCCCCAAATCCCTTTTTCAGACTGTAAATTCAACCTTCTCCTCCAAGGGTCTTCCCACAGCTGCCCTTGAGTAGCCAGAGCCACTAAGCTGAGTTTCAGCCCTTGGTGGCCTGGCTTGCCCTCTATGGAAATGGTCCTGAAAGTGAAGTGACCAGAATTGGGAAATGTCACTGACTGAAGAGGGAAAGCAAGATAAAGAATCTAAACCATACAACAGCCTGAGATTAAACACAGGGCTTGCGGCCCTATGGCTCAGGGGTTAGAGCACTAGTCTTGTAAATACGGGGCTTACAAACACATTCCAGCTAAAGCTGTCTCCTTGCCAGGCACATCTGGGAGGGAAGGGGAATTCCCCCCACTTTGTACCTTCTAATCTTGTTGGGACAATTTGTGGTATGGCTATATACACAGTCTGGGTCATCTGCCTTCTAATACACAGACAACTTACTGAGAACTTTTTGGCACCAGTTAGGAAGTTTAAGAAGCGGGTGGTCTGATTGGCAGTAAGCACTCTAGGCTGGCAAGTTCTTTGACCTTTTCTGTAAGAAATGTGAGTTTGACCCAGAGAAGCCTGTAGATCTGACCAGAAAGAGAACTTTGGTGTTGGTGTACAATTATGGATAGATTTTGAAGGCCTGGGGTGTGTGTCCAGGGCAAGGCACAACCCATGAAGGTTTGGCTCCCTTTGGGATCCCGGCTCTTAAGTCCAAGCTCCAAATCACCCTCTTCAGATGCAACTCCTACTTCAGGAAAACTCCTCTCATCAGGGGCTGCCTTGAGGGGAGCTCTAGCTCTAAGGGAGTCAGTGAACAATTTGCACTATTCTAAAAGAAGCACAGATCGCATGCCCAGGCCACTTTGTGGAGGCTGAGTGGCAGGCTGGAGAGAGATGGAAAGTCCTTCATCTTCTAGTCCTATTCTCTCCCATTTTTTCTTCTGGGGCAGGGCATGAAAGGATGACTAGGAGAATCTTGTACAGTGACACAGGGGCCTGCTGAGCAAAGAGTTTCATGATGAAGAAGTGGGGAAGACAACCAGGTAGAAGAGAGGCAAACTTTCAGAGTGATGACTTGTGGGTAAAAGGTCCAGAAGACAGACTAAGCGATGAACCCTTTGTCTCAACCTGGTCTGATCAGTGGACCCTGTCTGCCACCGTTCCTGGGTGACGCAATACTCAGCCCCCTGAGAATCTCTCTCTTCTCCTGCATAGAGAAAGTTCAGGACACTCACTGTGCTCATGCTTGTGCCCAGGGTAGATGATCCGGAACACATAGTCTGTGGCCTGCCCCATGCCCAGCTCCTCCACATCCACGGATTGCATGCTGCTGCGTTTCCGTAGCTTAGGGAATACCTTGCCCTGCAGAGGGAAGGGGTGGTCAGGCTGTCCAGGGCAAAATCCCACCCTGGGTCCCACCATGGCTGCTCCTAAGAATTCTGTGTGGGGAAAAGAAGGGAGGAGGCTGGTGAACCACCCAACACAGCCCTACACCCAGAGCCTCTTCCCATGCTGAGGTACCTTCCCCTGCTGGGTCCACAGCGGGGGCTCAAGCTGTCCTCGAGGTAGCAGCCCATTCTCCAGACAGGACAGAAAGGACAGCAGGTGTCCTCCCTGTGGGAAATGCAGTGGTGGCCTCTGGATTCCGTCCTGGCTCACCAGCACAAGCGTGCCGCCACTCTCTAGAGAATGAACGTGGGCGAGTGAGGTTGGTCCTTCCTTAGACCTCCCTGTCTATCACCATGGCCCCATTGGCCAGCTCCCCAGGATGGCTAGGAGGACAATCAAGCTGGAATGTGGCCCAGGGGTCATTAATAGGGATGGCAGGAGGGCTGGGGGCATAGCTCAGTGGTAGAGTACATGTCTAGCATACACAAGGCCCTTGGTTCAATTCCCAGCATGGCAAAAAAATGAAAAATAAAAAATAAGGGGAATGGGAGGGAGACGTGAAGTCCAATGGGCCCCATGCTGTGTATGACTGGGAGAAAGAAAATGTCTCTGCCCTCACATTGCTGTTCCTGGGACAAGCAAACTTACTTTGCTGGTGGCAGTGGATGCAGACAATCTGACTGAAGGGCACCAATAGGGCATAGTCCCAGTAAACACTGAAAAGGAACCAGACTGGTGTTACTGTGTCTTAAGATCTGTCACCCTCCCTTTCTTGTCACCTGGAAGTGACTTTCCCACCCCTGGGAACTATCCTGAAGATTGGATGACCATTACTGAGAAGTGACCTCAGCCAACCACGTCCCTCTGAGCCCCATGCTGTCCTCATGGCATACAACTAGTTAAGTCTCAGCTGCCTGGAGCTTTGCCTCAAGCAAACTTCTCCATGGCCAGGCTTAGCTCAGTCCTAGAGCACTTAAGCATCACTCCAGGCAGCCTCTCCCTGCAATTCTGGTACCGGGGATTGAACTTGGGTCCTTGCACTTGCGCACCAGGTGGCGAAACCACTGACCTAAATCCCCGGCCTCTCCCTGCAATTCTTGGCATTAGGATAAGAAGTGAGGCCTGCCTCCTAAAGCAGGCCAAGTCTCTCCATCTCAAGCTCCCACTCCCTTCCTGGTCCCTAGAGACAAATGTCGAGGCTCTCACCTCTTCTCTAGCTCAGAGTCCCCCAGAGTCCCATTCATGAGTTGGTTGGGGGTCCACTTCAGAGTGAGGCTCTCCGCAGACTGGTGCAGGGAGAGGTAGCCAGGGACAGCCTCCATATCCTCCTTCTATAGGGAGGAGAAACATCAGAAGACAGAGACAATGAGGGGCTGGGAGGCTCCCTGGAATGGCCCATGGAAATGAGCTCCAGGTGGGAGCAGGGCAGGCCAGATGGGACCTGAACTGGAGGCTGGGCAGAAGCAAGGGAGAACAGGAGCCACATGGCATATCTGGGCATCTCGTCTCCGGGTTGGCCCGGTGCCAGTGTCTTTGCTCTGTCAGCTTTCTAGATGCCAGGTGTGTTCTGGGCCAGCCAGCCCCAAGTTGGGCATTGACCCTGTCTGCTGGCTGCCACTCCTAACCCTGGATGGCCTGGTTTTCAGTTAGCCAAGACAGATCCCATCCCTAGTTCCTGCCAACTCCGGGATAGGCATGAGTCATATGAAACTGTGTGGGGGGGGCGCTGTTTTCCCCTCTTTAGCCAAGGGCCTTAGGAAAGAAACAATTGTGGCTAAAGGTGTCCAGTTTGGAAAAGGGAGACTGAAAGGAGGCATGGTGGCATTAAGTTTTCCTACCGGCTGCACCAGCACGTTGTTCTTGCCATAGAGCAGCCGCATCCTGGAGTTCTGGTGCAGAGATTCCACATAATCCCGGGCGCAGGCCGCTAGCCTGTCCTCTGATGCACTGCCACTAGAATGCCGCTTCTGGATCTGCCAGGAAAGCGATGGCTCAGCTCCAGCCTTGGTAAATTGGCCTCTGGACTTGAGAACGCTCAGGCTTCCATGCTGACTCACTTTCTCTGAACCCCAGGCCCTTTCTTGCCCCTGCCCTGCTTTTGGCCATGGCCTAGGATGGGCTCTTGGCTTTTTTCCAAGCACTAGTGTGGGGAGAAGGCTCTTCTGTGGTGGCCACACCTTGGAGTCAGTTTTCCTTCCCTACAGGCTTGAGTGTAGCCTAGATGAATGAGCACAAGGAACGGGGAAAGGGATACCCACCCCCAGGGCTGGGCGCTTTGCAGGGGAGTCCTGACGATTGGGGGGACCCCGGATACGGTGCCTCTGGACCAGCTCATCAGCAGAAGGGTCAGTCCAGTAGTGATCAGCTGTCTTGAGCTTTGTGTATTCCAAGGCACAGGGTCCCACTGTGGCAAAAGGGATGGTTAGTTTAGAGGGAGCTCCCTTACCGCTTGCCCCGCACCCTACTGGCCCTACACAGACCTCTAATCTCTCAGGCTCACCTAGAAGAGAGGCCAGGATTGGGCCAAACACAGGGTCTGCCAGTAATGCTTCCTTCTCGTAGAACTTGCTGCCAGGAGACAGACAAAGTGATTGACAGGACTCCTGGACTCAGTCCAGGGGAGTCAAGCTCACTAGGAAAGGATGTCCCAACAAAAACCAGGTTCGGGTTAGTCACTAAGAAGGGATAGGTCCATAGGATGGAGCTTTAAAATCGGGTTTGTGGTGTGGTCTATGCTTTTGGGGTGGTAAAAAGGAAGACGGAGGCATGCCTAGACTGTCGGGAATTGTCAAACATGTAGAGAGTGGGGCTGAAGGCCTGTGGAGGTGGGTCCAGAGAGGGGCCAGTTGGGGGATGGGGCAGTCACCTGCAGTTTTCCGCCAGGTACTGTACAACCCTGTCCAGAACTTTCTCGATGAGTGCTGTTCGTACCCATATATGTTTCAAGGCCTGTGGGCTGAGGGCTGGGGCCTTCCCGCTGGTTGAGCCCTGTCTCCGCAGGGCCTCCTGGCTGGCTCCCGAGGGTGTCCTGCAAAGTAGGGGAGGGCTTCAGGAGTACAAGTGTTCAGGGGTAAACTCCATGATAAGGGCACTGGGAACAGGGACCTGTGCCACAAGACAGGAACCCAGAGACTCCCTAGGCTAGTATAGGGAGTTGAAGGAGGATGGGACCTTGAGTCTACAAGAGGCCAACTCCCATTCTCAGGCTGGTCCTTCACCCAAGAGGTCATGTAAAACATGGGCCAGGAAGCCAATCGTCAAGCAGATTGTCCTGGGAAGGAGCAAATGGCAAGGGAAAGGTTTGGGAGGTATAGGCCCAGGGCTCACCTGCCCTCTACTTGTTGCTGCAACTCCTGCACCTTGTGGCATATTTCCCCAGCCACAGGGCACGTCTTCCCCACCTTGGTGAATAGGGCTGCCATCTTGTCACTCCGCAGGAAGCCAGCAGCACGGCGTTTCAGCTGATGCAGGAGGCAAGCTTCTACTGCACCTGGGCCACAAAGGAAAATAGCACCTGAGCCTGCAGAAGAGGGGGAGCCTCATCATTCCCATGCCTGTGGAAAGGCCTTGACAAGGGCAAACCATGATCTATGCTGGAAGTAGGGATAGGCCCAAGAGATATACTCTGACCTCCTTTCAAACCTCCTGTTTCTCTGCACTGGTCACCGTGAGCTGGTAAGAACTGTGATGTGCCAAGCATTCCTCTCCCTTGCCTCTTTTTTTCTTTTTTTTTTGAGGTGCCGGGATTGAACTCAGGACCTTGCTTTTGAGGCAGGCGCAATGCCACTGAGCTAAATCCCTGGCCCTCCCTTACCTCTTATTTGCAGCACCACCCCCGTAAGGCTTTGAGGACCAAAGCTGCTGGCTGGGGTTGGCATGAATGTCTACACTCGACCGCAAGGGCAAGCAGGGACAGGACTTGCAAGGCAGAGAGGCAGAGAGCATACAGCCCCAGCAGCCCTCTTGGAGAGCATGGTGATGTGGTTGCTAAGGAACAGGCCTCCAGAGGAGCTGAAATATTGATGAAGCCACTGCACAGATCAGTCCTGACAACCACCTCTGGATTATTGATGAGCACAGCAGCTAACAATGAGAGATTTCTCCTTTCCTTACTGGGAGGGTTTCCATTCATTCATTCATTCATTCATTATTTTTTAAGGGCTGGACTTAATTTCTCCATCTGGATCCAACTTACTTAAGAGAGACCCCACAGGAAAGAAGAGCTTGGTAGTGAAGGTAGGGGGCTGTTGCTCTGGTTATGTGCAGATTCTAAACATACTAGTTTGTGAATGTGGGCAGTGGGGGTGGCCATTACTCAGGTCAGACTGAATGAGTTGTATTGGAGACAGGGAGCCAGAGACACCAAACTCTGAAGTTGGTGTGGTCACTTGCTGCTTCTGGAAAACCTGGGTAAGTGACTTAATGCTTTGAACCTTAGTTTTAGCATCTGTGAAATAAATGGGAGAAGACTTCTTAGGACTGGGTGAGATGTCACAGGATAGAAGGCATGAAGCACCCTACACAGGATCTGGCTCTAAAGAGGCACCAGATCCACGTCAGTTCCTGACTCTTCACCCTGTCTGTTCAGACACTATCAGCCAATCTGTAAGTCTGGTGTGGCAGGACAGGTTGCCCCAGAGGAGGGTGGAAGAACAGAACATGGAAGAACAGAAATGAAAGAACAGAAGCCATGTCAAGTTTATTTTACTGGCTCTGTTAGGTCATGAAATCTGAACTTAGGGAATCACTACTAAGACTTTCAATTAGAAGCAACAGGCAGTCACTGATGTCCTATAAGGGAGTTTTATTTGGCCCTCTCTTGGACTGAAGTCAAGAAGGGAGAGGGGCCAGGCATGGTGGTGGTGCATGTCTATAATCCCAGCAGTCAGGAGGCTGAGGCAAGAAGATTGAAATGAGTTTGAGGCCAGCCTGGGCTACACTGATTTCAAGGCCAGCCTGAACTGTATAGCGAGAACCTGTCTGAAAAAAACAAAACAGACAAAATCCAAAAAAAAAAAAAAGAAAGGGAGAGAGAAGTGTGGTAGCCTATGCCTGTAATCCCAGCACTAGGGAGGCTAAGGCAAAAGATCAGAAAAAGAAAAAAGAAAAAGAGAGAAGACAGTCCCTACAGCAGTGATGGCAAACCGTTTAGAGCTCTCAATGATACAAACAGCCTGCTGTAGTACACTTGCCATAGGTTTGCCACCACGGACCTGAGGCCGTAGCCAGCTAGCTAAGAGTGTCCTAGGGAGGGTAACAGGCACATCCTTTCCTTCACACCATGCTCACACACATCTATGCATACGTTTATGGAGACAGAGGTATCTATAGGTATCACTCATATATGGGGCATGTAGGGACATTTGTGGCTTAGGTATCTTCATTCTCCTCCCCATAATCAGTCCCTCTGGTCCCTAGAGGTCTTGTGTGGCCCTGGGGTGTACAGGTGACTCTCATGTCCCAGTCTCTTGTTCCTGGGGCTGCTGCAGCTATAGGCCTATGCTTGGGGGAAGGCAGTGATTATTTCCTGGGGCTGCATTCCTTGTCTGTATGGGGAAAGAAGCCACACTGAACACAGCCAGAGTGGCAGCAGGTGGCACCTGTCCTGCAGGGAATCACGTGCCTTGGTGATGTGACTAATTGCAGGGATAATGAGTCATTAGCCTTCCCACCTTCTCCAGGCAACTGCAAATGCAGCCAGGCTGGGAACTGGGTAGCAGCCACCCTGTTGGGCCTCACCCACCCTGGCAGCCAGCCTCTCAGCATTGGCACAAGATTCTCTGGAGAGTGGAGGTATTTCTCTGCAATCATTCAAGGAGGGAATGCTGAGGGAAGCCCAAACATCACAACTAGTCCCCTTGCTTACCCCACATGCCCTAAGTTCCTTCTGTGAAACACTGGACAAGGTGCCAGGATGTCTCTGGAGGAGGAGAAATCCTCCTCACCCTTGACTTTCTAAGCAAAGTAAATGACCCTTTAGGCCAGGTGCTTTTGGCCTACTTCCATGTGCTTTTTAGTGATTGTTGAAACCACAGTTCTATAGTTTCTACAGCTGAGTCTCCCATGAGAATCACCAAATGCAATGAAAAATGTTACCATGTTCTCTGTGTAGGCAAAATAATAATAATAATGATAGTGATAAGAGAATTGGTATCCTAGCCTAAGGAGATTTGTAGATAGGCTTTTCGGGCTTCAAAGATATAATATCCTAAAATTGTGTGTCATTTACACGGAAATTTTTGGAGTGATGCAGAATGCTTAGGTAAGATTTTTTTTTTTCCTAGAGAGGGGATCTATGGCTTTCAGCTTCTAAAAGAGTTTACTTGATCCTATAAAGAATAAAACCTGGTCCAAGACTTTTATTTTATTTTATTTTTTAAAGATAAGGCCTCACCTGAAGCCCAGGTGGCCTCAAACTCTTGATCCTCCTGCCTCAGTTCCTCTTTTTAAAAAAATAAAAATAAAAGAAGACAATTTATATGAGGGTGGGGAAGGGGGGAAGAGTGAGAGAGATGGTAGACAGCTATTCTGGATGAGAAGGGAATATTTGAAAGGGAGATATTTTCTGCCGCAGTCTCTTGAGTGCTGGGGCTATGGCATGTATCACCATGCCCAGCTTCCTCTAAGACTTTTGGGTTGAACAGAAACCCAAATATCCCTTTGAAACATAATCCTCCTACTTCCTCTCCCCTCATTCAATATACAGTGAATACCACACTCAGAATAGCCAGAAGAGCCATCAAAATAAAGTCCAATCCTGTTCTGAGACATTCCCCAGGGAAGGCCTTTCACAGACAGAATGGGGGACTGTCAAGCACCTTTCCCCAGGAGGAAGTCCACATAAAGGCCTGACAGAAGGCTCAGGGCACCTAGCAGAACACCTACTTCTTTCTGCCTCAGATCTGCCACCATGGCCCCATGCCCCACAGTGGAGGCCATGCAGATGCTGAGCTCATCTCCCACTAACTGAGCTGTTTGGACCCTGGACCCCAGACCATGAGGATTTCAGGCCCCCCTGTCCCAGTGGGTCCCAGAACCAACATCTCACACACTGATTTAACCACATAGTAGACATGAGGAAACGGGTGGAAGGGACATGAAAATTGTTCATCTCCTTGCACACTGCTGGTGGGAAGGCTGGAGAGTACAACTCCTACAGAGACAATATGGCTTATCTACAATGTACAGATAACCTCTGATCCACCAACTCCTCTCCTGGAATCTTTCCTACAGATATAACAGCATGATTACTTATTTATAACAGCAAAAGACTGGAAACAATGTACATGTCTATCAATAAGATTAGGGGCCAGGGATTTAGCTCAGTGGCACTGTGCCTGCTTTGCAAGCACAAGTCTCAAGTTCAATCCCCGGTACTGCAAAAAAAAAAAAAAAAAGATCAGGCTAAGTAAATATGGAAGATCCCTACAGTAGAATGTTGTGCAACTCTGAAAAACAATGAGATACTTTCTAGAAACTAACAATGGAAAGCTCATCAAAAGCAAGATGCAGGAGAGTCCCATTGCATGGTACCTTTCAATTACAAAAGGGGTGGGTAAACAAAAATTAAAAATTTTTTCATTAAAATTAATACATAAGGAACAAAAGTGGTGACCTGAGCCAGACATGGTGGCACATATCTATAATCCCAGAACTTGGGGAACTGAGGCAGGAAGATCCCTGTGAATTGGAGGCCAGCCTGGGGTACATAGTGAGTGAAGGCCAGCATGGACTACACAGAGAGACCATGTCTCAAAAGACGGAAAAAAAAAAAAAAAGCAACCAGCGTACTAACAGGAGAGAAGTGGGCAAATGGGGTGGGGAAGATGGGTGTGGTAGTGCACATCTGTAATTGCCCGGCATAGGCAATTTAGCAAGACCCTATGTCAAAAAATAAATTTGCAAAGGCACTGGGTTCAATCCCCAGTATTGCCCCACACACTCACAAAGCAGAAAGAGAAGAGCGCCAGGGATTTAGCTCATTGGTGCCATGCCTGCCTCGTAAGTGAAAGGTCCTGAGTTCAATCCCCGGTACCAAAAAAAAAAAAAAAAAGACTTGAAGCACAACTTTTATATAGTTTTGGCTTTTCAACCAGGTAAATATGTTACTAATTCAAATTAACAGGTATCATAATCAAGTTGGTGACCATCGAGGGTTCCCATCACGAGAAACGATGAGAGGTTCTCTCCAAATTCACAAACTCCAGAAAGATGGGTCTGTCCACAGCACCTAGTCTTTCCCCAGCTCCCTTAGCAAATAGGGTCTTCCAAAAGACTTAGTTCTCTACCCTGTAGAGGCATCTGTTTAAGGAGCAGTATATAACCGGAACTGAGCAGGGATCAGAGAAAGAATTCCACAGGCTGGGACATGTCCAAGTATCTCAGGAGCTCACAAAAATGAACTGAAGCGCTGGGCCTGATGGTACATACCTGTAATCTCAGCACTCAGGAGGCTGAGGCAGGATGATCACTGCAAATCTGAGGCCAGTCTGTACTATATAGTGAGTTCAAGGTCAGCTT